GCACAGTCTTTTGAATAACTTTCCTTTAGATTAGGTCATTTCAATGAGAATCAAGAAAGTCCTCTGAAATGGTAGCTCAGCTGCACCGCAGGGGTTTTTTGTGGGTAGGGAGGGAGCCCCATGGGACTGCTTGCAGTGGCGTGAGACTTTCTGACGCAGCATCTGAGCTGGCCACACTTCCTGAAATGGAGGATGTGCAGCCAACTGGGAGGAAGCAGGCAGAACCACTTTGGGGCAAGGCAACTGTTTCTCTCACAGTTGTCGGCAATGGCCTGAGCCAGGGGAGTCAGCTCGGTTTGGCAGAGAGGAGACAGTGCAAGAGACACAAAAGAGATGCATGGTGGTGCAAAAAGAGATGCCACATGATGCAGTAGATGCCGGGGCCCACATAAAATATGGCAGAGGACTGCAATGTTGCCCACAGACTTCCCAGCTCTTCTTAGGTATAGTAATAGGGCATGATTCAGGCAAGGCAAAGCACTTTCTAAGCATTTTTGGAGAGTAATGTATGTGCCAAGCCATGTACTCCCAGCAAGATTTTTCCAACTGCAATCTGACACTGGCTGGATCTTCTGTATAAGAACATTTTTCAGCCTGGGGGCCAAATTCCCTTCTCGGCAACCATCTGAAGGCTGCATGCAAGTGGGGGGAGGGGCCAGATGCAACAGTGGGTGGAGCAAGCAATGTGAATTTTATGCAGTCAGCTGGTTTCTACACACTTTCATACATACACCTTTATCCTGCAAACAGACAGACAAGCAAGCAGCATGATCGGAGTTCAAGGACCCCTTTGAGCCAGGCAAAAATACTAAACACACTCCAGCCTAGGCAGGAGAGAGAAATATATGCAGTGGTACCTCGGGTTACAGATGCTTCAGGTTACAGACACTTCAGGTTACAGACTTCGCTAACCCAGAAATAGTACCTCGGGTTAAGAACTTTGCTTCAGGGTGAGAACAGAAATTGCACGGCGGCAGCAGGAGGCCCCATTACCTAAAGTGGTACCTCAGGTTAAGAACAGTTTCAGGTTAAGAACGGACCTCCAGAACGAATTCAGTTCTTAACCCAAGGTACCACTGTATATACATTATAGCTCAATAAGCAGCAGCAAGAGGCGGCATATGGAAATTACTACTTCAGTATTTGGCAACAGACACTACTTTAGTTGTTTACTAAGAAAACAACAAAGCATTAGATCCATAGAATACTGAACTATCCATAATTTTGGCCAAAAAAAAAAAAAAAAAGGAGAGAGAACCTATGCATACCAGTGCAGTATACCACCAAGCTAAGGTTACCAGATGTCCCCGTTTCCTGGGGACAGTCCCCAAATTTACAAATCAATCCCCTGACAAAATCCTATCATTCCTACTGAAGTTGAAAAGTGTCCCTGGATTCATTGAAAAAAATCTGGTAACCTTACACCAAACACCAGATGCAGCAGACAAACCTGAGAAAAGGGCATATCCTTCATGTCTTGCTGGTGTGCTCCTAGCAGAAACAGTAGGCAAAATGGATCTTAGTCTGATACAGTAAGCAGTGGTGCCAGGTGGCAATTTTAGACTCTGAACTTAATGGGTTTTTTAGATGGTACTATATATGACTGGGGGGCACAGGGTGTTAGGGGAGGTGTAGTACCTCTGGTGAGGGGAACACGTCGTACTCCTTCCAGGGTACTTTGTTCACCTTCGCTCCCCACCCTGCACACAGCTCCCACCTGTGGCTCCTAGAAGCTGCCAGCATGTGACACCAGCCACACCCCAGGAACAGCTTTGACTGGTCAACTAAACCAGCTAAGGGTAGCTGATGGGTCTCAAACCCTTGGTGAGTTAGGGACTTCCCCTGCTTGAGAAAACAAGCTCTGAGACACAAGATCTACCTACCAGGGAAGAATGGCAGATGAAGTTGATGGACTATATGGAACTGGCGGAAATGACTGGCAGAATTCGAGACCAGGTAGAAGAGGCGGTGGAAGAAGATTGGAAAAAATTTAAAGTATACTTACAGAAACATTGTAAAATTAATGAGTGTTAGAAGGATGCGGGAATGAAGTTACATGGTTTTAGTAGAAATGCAACAAAGAATTAAGTAAAAGTTGATTGATATTGGGTTAAATTGAAAAAATTTAAGGTTAGACCGTTAAAACTATAGAATCAAAATTGAGAAAGATGGGAAGAACTTGCTGAAATAGTGAATTGAACTAGAATACAAAAAAAGGGAGGTGTGAGGAGGTCGATGAAACAAGTTAAGGAAAGGTAAAGACATGGAATATTGGATGTGTTTTTTAGTTTCTTTTTTGTCTGTGTTTTTTTTTTGCTGTATTGTTGTATGGTTTTTATATGTTTTATATGTTTTGTTATTGTTTTTTTCTACTTTATTGTTATTTCTTTTTTCTTCTTTCTTCTGTAATTTTTAAACTTTTAATAAATATCATTTAAAAAAGAAAAAAGAGAAAACAAGCTCTGGCAGATTGAGCAGATAATACAAATAGTGGGTCTAACTCAAGATGGCAGTTTCTAAAGGTGCTGTAGAGGGAAGTGAGGGCTCATCAACCTGGGAAGTTAGCCCATCTAGGAGAAGGAAAACGCTGATCCTAAACCTCCGCTGCCTTGTGGGATGGATTTAGGAGAATAAAGGGCTAAGGAGTAAATCCTACACAAATCTAAGATGCTTGGATGGTGCCTTATACGCCTTGTTTCAGAGACTCCTGCAGCCAAGATGGTGCCAAATATACTGCTCTGCTTTCCTTTGGATCACACCAGCAAGGCTTAGGACCTCCATACACACTGCCCAGGCACAGCACCCTGGGGAGGTCACTTCAGTGCAGCTAATGCAGTGGTTTGACTTCACCCCCAGAGATGCGCTCCATTCTCTCTCTATAGACAGATGCCAACAATCAACAACAATGTAGGACTTCAATTCCCGCCCCCCCAAAGTGGCACTCCAATCCTGCTGTGTTGACGGGCCCTTCTACTCAATCTGCTGAATGGGGCTCCTTGACTTCTGCCCTGATGGCGCCACGGACAGCAAGAGTACCCTTGCAGTCCAACCATTCAGAAAACCAAAAACCAAAAGCAAGAGTACCCTTGCAGTCCAACCGTACAGAAAACCAAAAACCAAAAGCAAGAGTACCCTTGCAGTCCAACCGTACAGAAAACCAAAAACCAAAAGCAAGAGTACCCTTGCAGTCCAACCATTCAGAAAACCTACCAAACGTCTTAAAAAGTAACCTTGATTGCCTCAAGTTCTGCAGTCCCTCCCCACCCACAAACACACTGCCTTGCATTTTTTCCGTCAAATGCCCCTACAAAGGGAGGTTTGGAGGCACTTTAATCCTGCTGAGTTGTTAATTTTTAATAGGTGTTTGAAAGCGATCCAAGAGAGAGCAAAACCCTTTCAAAGTGGTTAATATGGAATCAGGTCCCAGAATGACCTTTCATTAATGCCGGCTCCCTGCAGAGATGTCTGATTTCTGTAGCGCTGTGGCATTCTTAACAAACCACAGGAGAAAGAAAACACGGGTGTGCCCTCCCCCACAGCCCCAATTTAATGCTCTTTTACATCTCTCTGCAATTGTGACAAACTTCTGCTGCTTTGGATTCAAAATGCAAATACAGGAAGATTGTCAAAGAATAAAGGCACTGAAAAGGGCTCGTCAGAGCTGCTTCTGGTGCCAAATGAATAGTCCGATAACACCGGAAACTGTTCTCCTGTTCCAACCCCAGCTGCCTTTCCCCCATTTCATCAGGAAACCTAGTTTTTGAGCCAGAAATTGCAAAGCAGAACTTTCTTTATGTATGCCACAACAGCAGCAAGAATACTCATTGCAAAGCATTGGAAGACACAAGATTTACCCACACTGGAGGAATGGCAGATGAAATTAATGGACTATATGGAATTGGCAGAAATGACTGGCAGAATCCGTGACCAGGGAGAAGAGTCGGTGGAAGAAGATTGGAAGAAATTTAAAGACTATTTACAGAAATTTACAGAAATATTGCAAAATTAATGAATGTTAGAATGATGTTGGATTGAAGTTAAGTGGTTTCTAGCTGTATAGGTACAAAAGAATATGGAAAAATTGGTTTTTAATATGTAAAAATCTAATGTTACAATATATCAAGATTAAGGATTAGGACTAAAAAGGAGGGAAAGGAATTGTTGGATTAACAAATTGAATTGGAATACAAAAGAGGGAGGTATGAGGAGGTCCGGGAAACAAGTAAATGTAAAAGAAGTGAGGAAAAGATGGAATTGTTTTTAACTGTTTTTTCTTTTTCTTTTTTTCTACTTTGTATTTTTCCTTTTTATTGTTAATTTTTTTTATTAATGTGATTTTTTTTCCCTTTGAAACTTTAATAAATATTATTTTAAAAAAAAAAATTTCAAAGCAAAAAATAGTGGGTGGGAGAAGGGTTAAGTACGGTACTTCTCCCTGCTGCTTCTGCCCTTGTTGCATTGGGGGGAGGGGCACTGCTGCCTTGGGAATCCTCCTTTTGCCACAAATCGAATCCCTCCCTCAAGAGTCACTTATAAATTCCTAGGACTCCAGCTCAAATTTTCTGGAGAAGCAGCAAGGCAAAAGTGTAACAAGCAGAGCATGGCCAGAGGCCAAAGAGGATGAAACTCCTAAACCTTTAATAATTGTATGGAAGAGGGACTCATTGAATGTACAGAAGCCCCTTCTTTCTTGGCTTCCCATCAACAGACAAAAATAAAATCTCTTTACATGGAAATGTCCTGAGAATTCCAGCTGGTTTGGCTTTTTGCTCAGGTACTTCCCACCAGTCCTCCCAAATACGACAGGGTTTACTTAGGTTTTCTACTATATTCAGCACAGCTTACTTCCCAAGTAATCTGAATCCTGGCTTTCAAAGGCTTCCTTTTTTCTTCCCATGCCAAGCAGTGGGGCGGGGGAAAGGGCTTGTGGGTAGGCTGGTAGCGCTAACTATTGACCAGACCTGCCTAAAGGCCTATGGGATGTTTGCCCATGGGAGTACCTGTAGGCAGTCTTTCTACTAGCTAATGCTCCAGACAGTTGACTCTGCTTCAGAGAAGGGCGAGTGCATCCCACTGCTATTCCAGAATGACCGAGTTGCATGTTCTGCCAGAAGGCAGGAGAAAATCTTAAATACATTGTCACGTGCAGTGCCGGATTTACGTATAAGGTAAACAAGCTATAACTTAGGGCCCCGCTCTCTTGGGGGCCCCAAAAAACTTAAAGGAAAAAACAAGAACTGGATGTACATTTCCCAAAATAAAATAAGATAAAATAAAATAAATAAAATAAAATAAAATAAAACCTACATATAGCAAGTGTTTTGTGTTGTGTAGGCTCCTATTATGTAAGTCATGGGCCGCGCCTGCTAGCCTGCTCCCTAAAATATCATTGGTTTGCTCATTTCTGTATATAGGGTGCCTACATTCTTCATGTGCAAATGGCTTTAGATACCTATTAGGTCCATAAATTACCATATAGCATATATTCAACACAAAAAACAGTGACAAAGGACAGCTGGACATAAAGGGCCCCATTACCTTTAGTAGCTTAGGGCCTCATCAGACCTAAATCCGGCCGTAGTCACGTGCAAATGGTGATGTGAAAGTTGCACACTCAGGTTTGGGGGGCACTCACTTTAGAGCTGGATAGTGGTGATACACATTCAACAAGGTTGGGTTGAATGCAGTATCTATGGGGGCTAATTGAGACAGGCCTCTTGTGCCTCTGACAGTTGTGCAGGAGGCAATTTCAGCCGGCATGGCTTAGAAATCCCTTCATGTACATGACTATGAAAAGGTGCAGGACCCCAAACTTCTTCAGCATACTAGAAAACTGTGTTTGAGAGGTGGGAACAGAAACCACCAAAACTGACAAGCATGGAGCACTGGTTAATTTGAGGAAGGGGTTATACCTCTGCTGAGGTGGAGGCAGAATTGTGGCAGAGTTGCACATCAAGACGTTCAAACTTTGCCTCATATCGGCTTTACACATATAGCAGCATTCAGGAGTGGCTGAACCACTTCAAATTTTAGGGGTGGTGGTGGCGGCAGGAATACTGTTTTTAAAGCTAGCTGAAGGGGGTTGGGAATCCCTGCAAGTAAAAAGCAGCCAGTATTAGCGGGGAGAATAGTTCCAGCCCTAGTCTGCTCCTTGCCATTCATGTTTTCCATGTGCACAGTAGTGTTTTGTTTTTCACTACAGGTGAGTATTCACCCACAGACTGAAATGGAAGACTCCATTGTGCCATCTCAGAATTCCAGTACCTCAAGATACTGTGGAGCAGGCCTTGTGAGGGCAGGTTGAAATTGTTGTTATTCCAACATGGAGGTCGTGTCTCCTTAGCAACGCAACTGTGAAAGAGGAAGGCAACTGGGACTTCTCCTGACCTTCTCTTCTCCTGGTCCTCCCACCCCCCCAGTACCCTAGTTCACTGTGGAGCAAAAAATAAAAAATAAATGAGTTTATTCCAGAAGGGGCAGCACAGCAACAGGGATGTTAGACGAGCGGGATGAGATGCAACCTGATTGTCCCACCATGAGGGAGTTGTGGAGCCATGCTTGACGCAATGTTTCTTCTTTATTATCATTTTACACAAGGGGTGAGAAAGCTTTCACAGCAAAAAGCAGATGGGGCAAAGCATGGGACTTGGCACATGACCTTGTTCCTTCTATTCTGTGCTATTTCCCCCTTTATTTCTGATGCATAGAGAGAGAATGCTGCTGTCCTGTATTTTTTCTTTCCGGCACCTATGGCTGAATGTTATAAGATTTGCAGATGAGCATCTTAAACTTGTGTGTGTGTTTTGCATAGTCCTAAAATAGCATAATGCTGAGAAAATGCTAATCCACAGCAGTGTTTTCTTGCCACATTTGACTGTGGTAGCCTTAAATGTTAATAAAAACCATTGTTTTCCTGAAGGTATTTCATTGTATAGTAGGCCTCATTCCAGCTAGGCAAAAATGACAGGTTTCTAATCCAGGCAAGCAAGGCCACAGCACTTGGGGGTGTCACGGACACCTGAACCCTGCTTTTAAGTGTAAATAAAAAATGTTGGTGTTTCAAATCATGGCTCTCCTGTGTGACATTCATACAGTGCAGCTTTGGGAGCGGCCATTTTAGATCATTTAACAGAATTAATGAAAGCATGAAATTTTCCACTGAGTTGTTCCACAGCTGCAAGGTAATGACAAATGGAGTTTGCTGTGACCCTCAGGGCCACCATGGCTGCCGAGACTGACATTTGTGTCTGCTACCAGAGCTGAATCGTTATTTACCCAGAGGTGGGATTGTGCAGGACCGGGCATGGTACAATTATTTTGGGGCTGGAAGTAGTTTTAAAAACACACAGGTGAAAAGGCCTGCTCTGGTTGTAGTAGCAAGACCTTCCCAGGTGAGTGACGGAATAATTATTGATTTATTGCATTTATATCCCGCCTTTTCTCCACAACAACCCTGTGAGGTGGGTTAGGCCGGAAGGCAGCAAACGAAAATTTGAATCCTGGTCTCCCAGGTCTTAGTTCCACACTGTATTCATTGCACTTGTCCATTAGCATATCAGAGATGGGGCAGGTATCTTACATGTATGTTTGGCAGTGATCCTTTGCATATTGGTTGCAATATTGTGGAGCATGAGTGGTAGTGAATGACTGTAGTTGTGGGGAATGGATTGTGAAGGTGAGACTGGGTGCACATTGCATTAACTGTGTTTTATGCAGGTTGGGATTTTGCATTCTGCTGCCCTGCAGTGCTCTCTGTCTTGATTTCTATGTATATTGTGTTTATGGATCTAGTGACAGCTTATGTATTTGTAATTTTTTCTCTCCTTGTAAATCACCCAACGTTGTTTTTATTGTACTTTGTTCTTGTGTGCATCTGTGGTACTTTTAATTTATTGCAAACCACTTCAAGATCTCCAGATAGTAAATGGAAATAATAAAATGACTAAATGACTATTGTCCTTGCCTTCCAAAGCTTTTTAAAAAAACAACCCTGTTCCTGTTTCAAACTCAAAACTGCATGCGATCCTTCCATGTGGAAGGATCTAATTACATTTTAGATTAGAGGATTAACGCCTCTTTGATTCCTGATGCCACACTTCAGAGGATCACTCGAGAGAGACTAATCCAAATTGAATGAACTCCCTTAATAGACTCCCTCCACCCCAATCTCCTCCTCCTCTTTTTTCATTTTCCTTTGAAAGTGACAAAAGTTGTCACGGTTTCGCTTTGAAACCCCCGTGGGTTTTGTTTGCAAACCTCCTCCCTTTCCCCCAGTGATCTGCCTCGCGTGCCCCGTCCTCCCCCTGCGCCCCAAGCGCAGCAATATAAACAAACCAACCTCCCTGCCTTTGACTTGCTCATTCGCACGTGCTCTCCCCGGAGGAAAAAAAGGAAGTGGGAGGGTGTGCTTGCAAATCTAGAGAGGCATCCAGATCTCCCAATCGGAGCTAAAATGAAAGAGCTCCGCTCCCAACAGCAGCCCCTAGGGTGGGCCGGTTTTGAAACCGCCAGTCCGTTGAGACTCCCTGCCTCTTGGCACAAGGAGGGAAGGGAAGGAGGAAGGGCGCCGGCTCAGCAGCAAGCGAACTCTTCGCAGCCGGCACTTGCTGTCTGGACTGTACCCGATCAGCAGCTCCTCGGTAGATCCGGCTACCGCGATCACGTCAGGGCAACGTTGAGCGCCGCCCGCCGCCTGGACGGGGCGCCCGCGGCGGCGCACAAGAAAGCGCTAGGCGCTTGGAGACGCCTTGGCGAGCCTCCCGGCGGGGCGTGGATCCGGCAGCGGCGGCGCTTGGCCGCCAACGCCCGCGAAAGGAGGCGCATGCTGGTGCTCAACGTGGCCTTCGACCGTCTGCGGAGCGTGGTGCCCGCGCTGCGAGGCGAGCGGAAGCTCTCCAAGGCGGAGACCTTGCAGATGGCCAAGATCTACATCTCCATGCTGAGCGAGCTGGTGCAGGAGGTCGGCGCCGGCGCGCCGGGGAGAGAAGCGGCAAGCCAGGCTCCTACGACGCCACCCGGAAGCGACGGAAGCCGATCGCCTCCCGCTGCCTTCCCAGGATCACCAAACTGATCCTGCGTAGCAGGGACCTGCTGCGGCGGAGTGGATCCCTGCCCCACAACCCCTTGCAAAAACTGCTCTCGCAAGGAGAGGTGCTTATGCCTAGACAAGCGCGCAGGACTTCGGCTGCAGCCTTCTCCGCCCCGTCAAAAACCCCTGATCTGCATCAGTGTGCAAACATAGAGGGTTGTTTTTGTTTTTTGGAAGGGGGGGGGCAAAAAAATTGAAAGTTTGACTTGAAAAGGAGGGGGTTGCTTTCTGGATAGACAAGACACGCTCGTTCGGGGAGCGACTCCTCTCTCTTCCGTGTTTATATTATGTGCATGGGCGGTGTTGTACAAGTAGGATTAAGCTTGGGGTAGTAAAAGCACTAGGGAGGGAGCCCCAGTGGACAGTGGATCGTACTGCGTTAGGATTGCGCTGCTAAAGTGCGATTTTATCAACCCGTTAGGTTTGCAGTCCAGTCCTGACCCTAGTTTGCTGGAAGGGAGCCCCATTGACTTCACCAGGACTTCCTTCCGAGTAGACACTGTTAGGCTTCCGTTGTTACTTAAGGGTGAGCCCCATTTAATTAAATTGGACTTCTCAATAGAGATGTACAGGCACGCTTGCACCTGGGCATCAGAAGCATTGTCTTCAGAACACCTAGGGAGCATCTTCCTTACCTTAGCCTGTAAAGCAAGATGACAGTGAAGTCACTGGGTGGGTCTCAGCCTTAAGCCAGTGACAAAATGTTCACATTGTTTGCATTGTAATTAAAGGTTTGTAATGATGACAAGCTGCTGGTGCATGTCTGCTTCAGGGGAAAAGGCAGAAGCTGTACAAACCCTGTATATTTTACTAAGAGCCTTAAAGCAGCATGAGTTAAGTGGACAGTAACAGTAGGATCCTGCACGTGTCCACTCAGAAGTCCCCTTGAATTCAATGGGGTTTACTCCCAGGTATGTGTGCATAGGATTGCAGCCTTTCTTAACCATCTGTCTCCTATCACTTACGCAGTGGTGTCTGACCAAAGTTGAGCTTTTTTAAGGGTTGAAGTTGTTGAGGGTTTTTTTTTTTAGGATTTTAACCCAGGAAATGAACCACCACAGGGGCCGGATTTAACCAACTGGTGGGCCAGATTAGGCCCCCAAAACAGACTTTGCACATGCCTGGCTTACACCGGTATGCCTTTATGTTAGCTTAACTCTTCACTAGAGTTCAGGTGATATGCAGAGTTATTTAAAATTTAATCAAAGTGTTAAAAGGCAGTTTTTTAAAAAAAAAAGTCTTTGAGTGCCTGCCATCCAATGAAGTGTAATGTAATGTGGAGAAAATAGACAATGTGTATATTTTTTTCAAAAATGGGTTTCCCCCCAGAACGCACAACCTTCTCTTCCGGCCTTCACTGCAATCCCTTCCCGGTTAATTAGCTTAAGCATCCCCATCACACAATGCACAATTAACCTATCACAAGAGACAGGTAAAGGGGGTTGGACTAGATGATCCTTAGGGTCCCTTCCAGCTCTATAATTCTGTGATTCAGATGGCCTACCTTTGATGGCCAGAAAGAAGGGTCTATACAAATTTAAGGATAGCTCTATCACAAGGGTGGGGAGCCTGCGGGCATTCCAGATATTGCATATTTGCCAACAATTGGCTATGCTCTTTGGGGCTAATGGACATTGAAGTCCAACCACACCAGGTTCCCCGTTCCTGGCCTTGTCAACAGCTGTCACCAGTGTTGGAGAACTTACATACAGGCTGTATAACTGACATGCAGATGTGAGAAAGTGGACAAAAGGGCATGTTGCTGGCATGCCCTGCTTAAAAGCTTCCCAGGCCCAAACTAGGCCAGTCTTATATACACCTACCAGGGAGTGAATTTCTGAGATGGAGATAGTGATGGCATTTTAAAAGCCTCTTTTAAACACATCTTTACTTAAGCTTTTCTTAACTCTTGGCGCTTGTACACCACTCACGTTTTGTGACAATACAGCTGCATTTTCTCTTTATATCTCTGACACACACTTTACCCCTCAAATAATCCTGTAGTTTAAGGGATGCTGGGAATTGTAACTGTGAGGGGGAAAACTACAGTGCCTGGAATACTTTGAAATAATGTGTTTCAAATGTGCTGTAAAGGTACACTGTGTATATACCGCCATTGGAAGGAAATTGCATTGAATATTGTTATATTTTTATTATTAAATCCCTTCAAAGAGATTATTATATTATGCAGACTATGTTTTATATAAACATAGACGCAATGGAGTTTACTCCATGCCAAACATGTATAGGCTAGTGCTGTTAGTTACTGCTTTTAGAAACAAACAAAATTAAATGGATCTCTGACTCAGGCAAGGTGTTCTTATGTTGTTAAATGTGATCATGAGCATCATTAGCTCAGCGTTCTTCCATGTTAGCAAAACACAGCATTTTTGTGGCATGTCCTGGGTGCAATTACACAAATTGTATTTTTAAAGGATTAAATCCGGATTACTGTTTTGAGTATATGGAGTAGAGTGGAGGAAACCTGCCAACGCTTACTGTTGTTTAGAGTGCAGTTCCCATCAACTCATCTGGCTGAGGCCTTTAGGCGTGGGGAGTCCAGCTTCACCTAGAGGACCACAGGCTCTCCATCCCTGGTCTAAAAGGTAGTAAATAAATTAACCACTGAAATAATTTACAGGTACAGGTTGGGGATGGGCAAATATATCCATTTCAGTTCTACACGTTTCTTGTCTTCAATTTGGTTTACTTCATGTCCACATCTGCATTTTTAAAAGAAATCTTTTCATGTTTTTGCAAGCAATTTCTTGTTTTCTGGGGGTTTTCCTGTTGCTATTCTGTCTCTCACAGCTACAATAAACCTACCATCAAAATTATGGACTGGTCATCTCTTCGTCAGAGGGCAAACGGGCAAATTTAGCAGGGGATCAAATACTTTTTCCCCTCACTGTACACCCTCCTCTTGTCACAAGACAGAAGTACACTCTTCTCAAACTCATCTTCAAATCCGTTATTCTCAAATGGCTTACTACATTTGAGACACACTGCCCAAATATTATACTGTTGCCACATCAAGCCTTAGCCTTCTAGAAATTTGGGGTAGCAAGAGTATGTTTTCAAAGAAAATCAGAAATGAATTAGAGAAGCTACTTGCTTTTATTCTATTAAGATAATAAAGGTCCTTCATAACTGCTGAAGGTGGCATTTCCTAGACATTGTTCCAGTTAAGTGGATTTTCTGGAAGTGCTTATACTTGCCTTCTGAACGCTGTGTCGCCGTCAGCATATTTTCAGAAATAATCATTGTGCATTAAGAGACGAAGGAACAGAGGATGTGAAAACCACTTGGAGTCCCAAGTGTAATAATTTCTGTTAGAATTCCAAGTAAAAATGGAAAGCCAACATTTCACTGCTCAAGGGAAAAATAATTTCGATTTCATATATTTAGGAGCCATTGCACAACACAGCTGAGTCAAGTTCAAGGTGCAAATTTTGCCTCTCTTCACTGGGTGACAAGCCATTATTTTGGATTTTCTGTAATAGTGGTGTGTGTGCGTATGTCTTTTTATTGCAAATGGCTTTGGATGGGTTTTGTTCACCAAAGCTGTGTTTTTAAAAAATAAAAACAACAAACTTTCATTCCACTACAACCTCTCCCATTGTCTCCATTATAGGAGAACCTTGTTCTGAAGCCTTCACCTACTTTCTTGGCAACTTCCAAGGACACTGCATGGGGCAATAGGGATTTCCATAGACGCAGGTAGAGCTCTGATCTTCCAAGGAAGGTGCAGACACTGCAAAGAGTCATTGTAGGTCTAACCAGAACTCTGTGTGTGCTGCTCTGTGGTGAAGTATTACTATTTCAACCCAACACCGGTAGTATGTCCAGAAAAACATTCTACCTATCTCAGGGGACGGGTATCCTTGTAACTTTACCTTGCAGGTGCAAGTAATTATTAACCATTCACTCTTATCTGCGCATCACAGGGTAGGTTGATATAAATCTATCAGGCCCTTGTACAGAAGGAGCCATTATATAAGCTAATTTCAAGACTGCATGATTACACCTCATTATTACTGCTGAAGAGCAGATCTACAGTACCAGAAGCACTTCTAGTGCTTCCAGAAATAAGCCATTATTAAAGGCATTAGCACAAACACATTAATTTATCATGCAGATAGAACAGCTTCTCTCACCGTGTGTGCCCAACATAGCCCTGGCAGCTTGCATAAGCAGGAAACTTAACTTGAACCAAAACTGCAGTGTTACCGGCAAGTAAGCTTTGACCTGGCCTTGCTCTTTAGTTAAAAAGGGCTTTCCAGTCAGCTTGTTTGGGGCCATTTTCTAGACAGGTGTGTATAAATTAGTGTCAATGTTTCACTGAAATAAACTAGGACCTTTTGTTTACATTAAGCATTGAATTGGGCAGTTCAAAGTTTTTCATAAGGCCCCTGCCATGAATTAAGCTTGATCTCAATTTTAAACAATGAACAACTTGAAGTCTATATATTTTGACATAAAGATGAACAAGCCACTAGGTGTCTTGCTTTTCGTGGCAGCTGTAACTACCAGGGTGCTATGTGCATAGGATATTTCTTCGGTGGGGTAAAAGAAGGGAAGTAAGTGTAATTTTTGTTCTTGAGCAAATTTACTCGTCTGCTGAAATTGCATATGGCTAGCCCATCATATGTAGAGCATCACTGTGAGCTAGTCCGTAGCAATGCCAAGTGTGTACACTTTGTACCATGTACAACTGCATTCCATAGCGCTCCTGGTTATTTCGATTTGAGTCTCTAAGGCCTCACTGGCCACAACTAGATGTCAGACAATCTTCCGCTTCAATACAACAACAGTGGGGAACTTTTGGCCTGGCAGTTCATCCCAGACCATTGGCCATGCTTGCTAGGGTGGATGGGAGATAGGATCTAACATCTGAAATAGCCACTTCAATTCAGCAATGACCAGCCTGTTAATGCATATGAAAACGATGGTAGACAAAGCTAGATAATAATACCATAGAACTGTAGACTTGGAAGGGACCAAGAGGGTCATTTAGTCCAACCCTTTACAATGCAGGAATCTTACACCCAAATCCATGACCCTGAGATTAGGAGTCTCATGCTCTACCGACTGAGCTATCATATAAACCTAAAGCCTAAATATGAAAAAAGTTATATATATTTAAATTGATGCTAATGCAAGAGAGGTTGTCCTTTGCTATTGGTAACTAACACTAAATCTAAACAAGATTTTTTAAAGCCTTATTTCGATGGAACAAATTTAACACTAGCATGCAAATTGAAATGTTGGATACTTTCTTTCATTAGCCACTCAGTTCTCAGAGATTTACAAATAAACTTGAATGCACATGAACATACTAACAGCATACCATGAGATGATAGAAGAAATTGGGTTTAACACACAGGTCAATTCATTTTAGGCTTCCGGTGAAAGCAGTTTCTAGCAGTTGCATATACAATGCATGCGGAGTGACCTCAATACTTACCTCCAGCAGAGCTACTTGTTTTTATCATTCAAGTTATCCATAAGTAATTACTGCATAATTGGCATGGATACCTTTTTGAAGCCCAAAAGCATGTGTTGGCTACCAGATGGGTGCTACTGGCTGAAAAAGATAACTGACTCTTATTAAAATGTTAGTACTTATGAAGGAAATGGCCCACTATCTAATCCAGAGCTTTCCGAACTTTTCATGTTGGTGACACACTTTTAAGACAGGCATCATTTTGCAACACAGTAATTCACTTTTACTAGCAAACCAGAGGTTAAACTAACTCCATGTAAGAGATATGGGCACATATTGCGCGGCACACCTAAACACTAGCTGTCACACTAATGTGCGGCGACATGCAGTTTGGAAAGCTCCGATCTAATCTTTAGCACCCCAGTGAGAAATACTCTTTTACCAATGACACTCCAATTATAGCAGAAGTGGACAATGACATGGGATTCTCTCATACTGATTGTGGAAGCACAACACAGACACCATGGTGATGCTGCCACAAACAGCTATGGGGAAGCACTCTTGTCAATCTTTAATCTACCCTGGGTAGTTGTTCTTTTAATAACAGTTTGATCTGCAGCAATTACCAAATGATAAAATGTTTAGCACCAGCTGTTAGACAACCCAGGCCAAGTTCATTTTCTGATCACAGAATGGCACTCATTTTACTGCATCATAGTTAGAATAATTTCAAGATGGCAGCCATACCATTTGCTGTTTCACATTAAAGGTCATGGGTAGAGTCTCCAATAGCAAGAAACTATGCTCGTTACATGTATGTTATGTATTGAAAGTAGCAATTTTTATTCGAGTTAAAATTATTTACAAAAACCAAAAGACATACTTCATGAAACTGGTACAAACTATTATTCCTGCCGTTGGCTTTTGCTCCAAATATCACAGCTGAGAAATACTGTATAAAATAAAAATAGGATTGGATTCAGAAAAGTACTCTACTGTTCTAGTTTCCAATTGCGCTTATTTACATATATATTTACAGTGGAAAAAAAGTTACTTTAAAACTTTTAAATTTGAAGGTTGGCCTCAAGTACCCATTTAATGCAGAGCTTGATGAGGTTTAAAACAAGAAAACACACTGCAGCTTGCAGGGTGGTTTCCTGACCCTCTCTCCAAAAACCAAACAGTCTGCATGTTTCAGTGCTTGCTAATTAAGAAATGCTCAACGCAACGAGTTTAACCAATTCCGATCCAGGTCATTACCAGTGTAACAGAGAAGTGTGGCTCCTGATTCCACCTCATCACTGCATCTATTTTTAATCATCCCCCGTCATTGCGCATACAGAAAAAAAGCCTAACTTAAATCTATATGAAATCCAACTAAAAATGAAAGCCATTGCTCTAAGTTGTTAAAACTAAATGCCAAAAAATATATCCAGCAAATCCTGCATCTCAGAAATAATTTACAAGTACAGCTTTACTAAGTTGCTCTTCCTCTCATAAGGAAGCTCGATCCAAGGGAAAACATAACCTCAGCATTTTTTTTCTAAGTTACACTGGTACATTGTAGGGGGGTAGTTTGCTTAATTAAGATGTTAAGGAAAATAAAAATAAAAAAGCAGGACCAATATAGGATTTTGCTTCTAATCAGTCACTTCCTTACCAAATTCCCAACAATCTGCATTATCAAAAATAGGAAGACATAGAAGGCAGCCACTGTATGTAAAAATTTTACAGCTGGCACTGATACAAAAGCACAAGTTTGTAAGTTTATACATGGAGATAACACAAGATCTAAAAAGCAGGTTAGATTTTCTGTTATTTCTCCCACCCCTCATTATACACAGAACTAATATTTTTATGGCTTCAAGTTTTACAAATTCAATGAAGTAACATGATGCAACTAGCTACACAGGTAATGTGGAAAGTGTCTGTGATGCAAATGTCTCAAAACATTTTGTGAATAATTCAAGACCAGCTTAATAAAAACCATGAGCAATTCTGTCCATCGGAACAATGAGTGCGAGAAGTCACTAATGTCCAAAACCTCTTTTACAAAAGTATTTAGCAGGGATTTTTGTTCCATTAAAGTCTCAACACAATCCTTTGCTGTGAACTAGAACCCCTTACTGAACAAAATCTTCACTATATTCAGCTATTTAAGGCTTCGTATTGTATGCATTTACCTGCGCCATACTAGAGAAGAAATAGAAAGATTATGTCAACTGGAAACATTAATCCCCACTGGTGTTTTAGCTCCACATTTCTTCCTTGAAACAAAAATCAACAGCTTCTTTTCCTTTCTTTTTTGTGCATCATGAAGTGAAAACTCCCCTGGCATTGAACATTTTTTTCACATTGTCCTTTTTAAACAGGGTGCTTAACAATTACTGCATTTCAAAGAAATACAGACAGTCACCAGCTGGGAGGGGATTATTATTTCTTCTTCTTCTTCCTGCATGCCTCTCTTAGAGCTATGAAGTGTTATGGTCAATCAGTTTACAGTACGTAGGCCACAACAATTTTAAGAACTGAGAAGTAGTTTCCAACAACCCAATTTTCAATCAAAACAGTATAAAAAATAAACTATCCAAGCCTCAACCTCTTTGGATTCCAACACATTTTAAATATAGACAGTAGTTAAAATCACAAAAAGTATTTAAAATTTTTCTATTTCTTATGATTTTGGAATAATCTCTTTAAAAAGCAAGAGCAAATTAAACTCAAATCAGAGCAATGCTGCTGCCCAGAGCATCTTTATTAGAAGATTTTTGATACCTCAGTAGCTAAAGCTGCCTTTGCACCTGGCTGGCATGAAAAACAGTGGCTCAACAGTAAACAGCAGTTGCACTACCAGCAGCAAGTTTTCCCCTTTAAAGTTGTCACAAACAAAGCCAGAAAAATAAAGAGGGAGAGTAAACCCTGCCAAATATATTTAAATACTGCACTGCATTATTATAAACATAATGAATTCTTGATTTACTTTCCTCAGATATTTCCCCCCTAATTTTTGATAGTTGCAGATTGATGTGGTGGTGAACTGTCTCTCGGAAAATGCTGAGTGTATGGTGAAGAGACCAGGTAGCCTTAAAAATCCAAACACGAATGAGACTGATGAATGCTCTTGGTGGTGCTTCCTTGAGGACTTCTTTCACGACTTCCTTCCTTTATCGGAGGGGTAGAGCTCCAGCATTCAAGTGCCTGCGGCAAGACTCGAGTTTCTAGCAGTGTTCCAAGTATTCAATCACTCTAGAGATAGTTTTCTGGCCTGTTGTCCCAACAGCACACTGGGAAGGAAAGGAGGTGTGGAGGGAAGCACGGGACGTTTATTAAACGTTTAATATGCATTTTCCCACCTAATTTAAGGATTATGTGACAGCAGATCACAGTCTGGAATGCTATGTTACATCAACCTAAGTAGCAGCAGTTCCCCATTTACAAGCAAAGCGGTCTATTTATGAACAGTGGCCTGTAATTTATAATGTCTCAGCCTTAGCAGAAGCCATCATTTAACATCTGCTGTTATTTAAATAAATTTGCAAAAACAATCTTGCAACACCAGAGAGATTTGCTGCAGCTGCCACAGCTGATTTGATTGAAGGTGATCTTAGGTTTTTTGGGGGGTGGGATTTGACTGCTTCTCAGACTACAATAGAGGCAAGTCTAGTGGTCTCATTTGGACAGATGGAAGAGGATAAATCACTTATCCTGCTCACTGTTAACCCCATTAAGTGGGGTGGGTGGGACAGGGGTTACAGTTCCTTGACAAGTGGAAAACTGCCCCACCAGAGAGAGAAATAACAAGGAGCTGTCACTCCAGATTATCTTCCTATGCCTGCCCTTCTATTACATCAGGGCTTGTAGAAGACGGGATGATATCGACTGGTACATTACTGGGCTATTTACAGTTGTTCAGCAAACTTTTCCATATCAATTAAAAGGCTTCTCAATTAGGCTGATGAAACTTAATAATAATAATAAACAACATTGGAGAGGAGAATCAGGATTTTTGCACCAAAGGATTGTGAGCTCAGTTCTGGCACTGCAAACATATATCCTCAGAGGTGCTCTGTGCAAGTGCATCTCGCAAACCAATTTTTTGCACCTGGCTCTGAGTGGTGTACCTCCAGAGTTCCTAGTAACACACACACACACACACACACACACACACACCCACACACCCACACACACCCAACAAGCTTGCCTACCCTTCCATAAGATGACAGGCATACTGGTATAAGTCTTCTCAAGCATTTTGATCTGAAGCACCAGACAAATAAGCAATTGTAATATACTACTTACAGTAAGGTTCATGAAACTGAGAAACTTTTTCAGCATTTCTGTCATGATTGAGAAATCCCCTTCAGGCAAGTATGTCCTCACAGTAGTCACATTGATCTAAGGAAATAAATGCAGAAATAGGAAGTTTCTGACAAGGCAATTAAATCGACTTCCCAACACGACGCTAGAGTAACCAACCCGCACATTTATTCTCTTTTCCTGCTCGACATGCATCTTTCTTGCAGTACGGGCACGATGTCAGAAACCTATCTGCATTTCCTACAGTGCCTTGACACAACAATGCTACCAAACCTTTAGTAGTTGACAGTTTTTCACTAAAACACAAGAGCTTCCAAGTCACAAATCTCAACGTTTCATGAAAGTTGGAAGCAAACCCCGAGCCTTAATGGAAAAGCCAGAGCCCCTTCTTGCCCCTTTCCAGTTGCACACAACCACACAACTACTGAAATAATGTAGCACACAGGAAAATAAAAAGGAGAGAATATCAAGCATATATAAAGACCAACCCACAGGATTAGTTATTCCCATTCTCTGAAGAATGTCCCTACAAGATTTAGTAATGTTTTTTCATCTGTGGTTATTTACAAGCATGTCCTAGACACTCCAGTTGAGTGTGTAATATATCCTCAGGGAGGGGAACCGGTTAGTAAGAGAGCACATTCTTCGAATGCAGAAGGTACTCCATTTAATCCCAAGCATCGTAAGCAACAGGACTGGCAAATACATTGGAGAGCTGTTGTTATTCAGAGCTGTTGTTATTCAGGCTAATAGAGCAAGGAGCTGGCTCAGCATGTAGGAGCCTGCTTATTACTGAGAGCTCTGCTGAAAGTATGACTGAACTTCCATTAGACTAACACACTGAAAAGCATCAAACTTTGGCACTTTAATTGACAATGCAATGTAACCCAAAGCTGGGTTCTGCCCCTTATGGAAACTGCATTTTGAGACAGCTTAAAGCATATGAAGTAGTTGAAAAAGGTTAACAACTGAAGTTTAAATTGTAAAATGCCTGTTCCCAAGATCCATTTTATGGTTTCAAGACAGTCTCTTTTACCCAGCCTTATAAACCCATTTAGTAACCATGCAGAAAAGTTTTCTTACTGGACTCTCCTGGCAAAGGCATCCCAGAAGCAATGCTGTGTACGAGGCCACAATGCAATCCTCCATGTGCTTCCCAGCATGCTGAAGGGCTGCAAGTAAAAAGAATAATATTTGAAGTATAACCAAACTATATTTTAATGTCACTTTGCCCAAATACTTATAAAGCAGCTACTTCTATGTGTTCTATGTGTATGCACACATAGAACGTAATTCTGTACCCAAGAATGTCAACATTTCTAACTGTGGATATTGTGATTTTGTGGAATGCCACTGTTGCCCAGACCAATACCCTCATCCCATCCCAGTAAACATAGTTAAGTTTATTCCCCCTGCAGACGCAGGGCAGTGTGATAAATTAGATGTTCAGGTGGAAACCATAAAAGGAAGGGAAGGGAATGATTACAGAGAAGAGTGCTGAAAAACAATGTTTAAGAAAGGATCAACTGATACAATGTTTGAGCCAGAATAAATGGGCCAAAATTAAATAGAAGTATTAGTAAAAAGGGAATATTAACGTTTACTATGACAATATGTCAAGGAGCAGCTTTTTGTATTTTGTAATGGTAACAATCTTCAGCAAAAGAAGCTGAAGTGAGGCTTGTAAGAATCAGGAAAGTATTTTGATCCTTAATACCACTGCATTTTTGGGAAGAGATTAACTAGGACAAGAGTCCCAGTTGCTTTAAAAGGGAAAGAAACTTTGAAATTGGATGCAATTAAATGAAGCGGTGCGATGAAAAAACAGCTGAAGGAGTACAATATATGGACAAATCTGCACTCCATAGAAAAAAAAAGTATCGGTTTTCTGACATGAATGAGGATCGTAGAACCAGAGTCAAAATGTGGAAGGGAAAAATCGGACATGGAATTATGAATAACATTGAGGATGATGAGAGGCAGGACTATGATGTTGAATGTGCTTCGAAATTCAGACCATGGGAAGTCAAAACAAAATTATTACAATTTGGAAGACAATTGGACCTTTTTTATTTTAGTTTTTTATTTTTATTGGATCTGATTTGATATGTTAATTGTATGTTTTTATTGGAAAATTAATAAACGCTTTTAAAAAGGGGGGGAGGAGAAAGAGGATTCTAAAACTGCAGCTCTGACATTTTTTAATTTAGCACTTCTTTCCTTTGCTGACTTCCCCAGGAACCTGGACCTACCTTTATTAAGATCAAGTTCTTCTTCATCTTCTTCTTTCTTATCTTTCTCCTCTGCGTTCTCAGGCTTTTCTGTAGTAACCCACTGGATCTCTCCGCTCGTCTCCTGCCACTCCCCACTCTTGTCATGTTGTGCAGCAGGAGCTTCCTTAATCAGTTCATCCGTCTGGCTCTCTGCCAGCTGCGCTGCTCGCTCACGCTCAAGGAACAACTGAGAGGGAAAATTCCACAGATGATGAGTCATGAACCCAAATGCTACATGCGACTTAACTGGCAGCAGGGAGCATCTCATCTGTGTGCCTTCCCTTGCTTAAATTAGCATTCGCTTTTGTACTGAATGTTTCATCCTGTCATCCCTAGGCAGCGTTCGAAACTCCCATTGTTCTAGGTGCGCTTTGCGACAGGGAATTTCATTAATGAGAGCAGCTTCTGAGCTCTGGGTGCAGTACTGCGCCGAAGAATTCAGATTAAAACAGCCACCGCTGGAAGGAAAGGAGGACCTTTTTCTGCCTCCCCACTTCCAGCTACTCTCTGAAGATTGGAGAAGGGGCACTCTCAAGAATATTAGCGGGGTGGGCAGGGGAAGTATGGCTTTGTTTTTTGCAGTCTTCAGATGAGGACTAGATTATGTGGAAAATGAGCATAAGATTTTAGCTGCAGTTCATTCATTTTCAGCTTTGTATTCTTGCTATAAAAAAGCACGCCTAGACACTCCGTTGCGGCGCCCATAACCTAGGTTTAAGGTGCCATTTAGCTCCTAGCTTTCATATCTCCGTTTCTAACACTGTGCATAGGCATCCCATCTCAGGCTATAGGAGAAGCAGAGAAGGTACTCTCTAACAGCTCTGCTAAAAGACTACATGCCATCAGGCTCCTCCACCAACTGTCATCAGCAGACATTCCATCAGGCTGCAAGAGAGATGGGACTACAGGAGCTCTCCATTGGCTCTCCTGGTTTCCCCCCCATTGCTACAGTTCACTACAAGATCTCTGTAAGTAAGAATACAGTGGTGCCTCGCAAGACGAAATTAATTCGTTCTGCGAGTTTTTTCGTCTTACGAGTTTTTTCGTCTTGCGAAGCACGGTTTCCATTTTTTCAAAAAAATCTTCAAAAACCTCAAAAAAGGCTACCACACCACGTGCTATGAGTTGCTCCTCGAAGTCAAGTCGCAACTGCACCTCTTCAAGCAATGCACCCTGTATTACTGTAACGGTTTTAAGAAAAAGGAAACAAACTTGCAAGACGTTTCCGTCTTGCGAAGCAAGCCCATAGGAAATTCGTCTCGCGAAGCAACTCAAAAAACCAAAAACTCTTTCGTCTTGCGAGTTTTTCGTCTTGCGAGGTACCACTGTAAGTGCCTGAGTCCCCCCCCACCTACTTTCTCTCAGTGCCTTTTCCTTTCTGATTCTAAGCCCGAGATCAGCATCTGCCTCCTCAATGGTATTTGTCAGCTTTTTTTGGCTGAGCAGCAGGATAAAAATGCCAATAATAATATTTCGTAAAGGAACTGAGGGATTACAGCATAGTACACCAACAGTTGGTGTGCAGCATAATAATAAACTAAGTCCTAATGCCTATGGCAAGAACAGCCAAACACAACTGAGACAGAGAATATACCTTATTCAGCAGGAGATTAATATATGAGTTTCCAATTCATGCTGCATGTAATGCCCAGTGAAAAATGTAATGCAAGTGAAGAACAAATATAATCTCTTATCTAATGAAGAAATAATTAAAGAGACAAGCCAAATGTTCACAACTATGTTTGACTCAAAACTCTACAAAATTTGATCCTCCGCAAATTAATCAATTATTATTGGCAACAACAACTAAGGGGAACACCTTGTTCACAGGTAAAATACAAGTTGCTGAGAAGAACCAGTTGATGGCCATCACAAGGATGCTCTTTGTAGGGCTCCCAGTAACATTTGGTTTTCCACTAAGATAGTACACAAGACGGCTTCAATTATCCCTTGCATGGATTAAATCAATGGCCTATAAAGAGATGTATGGCTCAAAATATGTTGGGACAAATAAGTGACTCAGGGCCTCCTCTGGCCTATCGTCTCTGTTAGTTTAAAAGGGATGGGCATGACAAATAGTTCAACATTTGAACATTAGACCAACACTGCTTCTTTCCTCTGGAGATAACTGTTTCTCACACTGCATAAATGGTTGTTCTTTTAAGTAAAAACTATGATTTACCTGAACTAAAGCATGAACAGCAGCCATCCGTCCAGATGTGCTTATGCTATCATTGGCTTCTCCCAAGCAGAAGGAATCAAAGGAACATGTTGTTTCCATATTCACAAGACAGTGCCGATTTCGTGCACTGTACTCTACCAAATTGATTAGCAGACCCAAACCCTGCAAGAAAGGAAGAAAATATTAGATAGTAGAGTACAAAGAACTGTACTTTGCACACTCTCAGGGTGCTCAGAAGTATGGCCAATTTTCGCAAATTCAAGAAGTGGCAAGCCTCATGAAATCTTGGCAATTACACCTTCAACAACCCTACAAAATATACTTGTCCATTTACACCAGCCAACATTACCTTATCTTGAAAATGTCTGTCTTAAAGGTCTTGCGAATGTGTGCTTTTAAAGATGAAATGAGGGTGTGTGTTTGGGTCCCCCCCCTCATGTAAAGCCTTCTCCCATATGCTTGTCTCCTCCAGAAGTAAAGAGGAATTAATTTCATTCTAGAAGTCATACAGAACCACTTGAGATCTGTAATTCCTACAAATGTTTTGCCAAATTCACTTTGATCTCTGCCAAAGACTTGTCCTTCGGAAACAGCCACCAGTGCAAAGATCAGTTGTGTTGCCTAAACCATGAAATAATCTGCCAGTCAGTGTCTGTGTATCCACCCATTTTGGCATGCTCTAATAAGATTTATTTTTTATTTTTTTATTACTTTTTCCCAATGGCAGGTATGTTTTACCTGAACCTATTGTGGCTTTCATTCTACTGCTGTTCACTTGGTTTTTTATGTTTTATGATGCTGTTTGACTGGTGCTTGTTGTACTGATAGGCTTATACTCAGAAATGTGTTGGGAATTACAACTCTTTCAGCAGAGAAATGATATAATCACTTAACGGTAAGGCTATCATGTTATGAACCAGTGGAAATTTTCAAACAGTTTTCATGGGTGTCATGTTAAATGTGATGTACTGAAGTTAGCACAAGTAATTTTTAACATGTAGCCTTACATTTTCTAGAAGCATTTTTTAAACAGTTTTTCTTACCAGAACCCGAATATCAAATCTCTGTTCTTGAGGTAGAAACTTTGGAACCTGAAGCACACAATTCAGCGCTGTGCCAATAAGACCATCTTGTTCACCTGTTTTAGTGCTACCCCACTCTGCAAACGTTAAAGGATATAAATGCTCATTAGACATTTAAAAAACCACAGGCATTTCAAACGTGCATTTACACCACTTAAAAGTAGCAACTGGCAATAACACCTGGCCATGATCGAATTTCAGATTAAGGATTTGGTCCCACAAACAAATCTCTGATCAAGTTTACACCTCTCCCAGACCGACACACCAGTCTGCAATGGAGGAGACTGAATCTCACCTTTTACACCCGGTAACTGAACCAGAACGTAAACCATCTAAGCCCAACGTAGATGGGAATATTGCATTAACCCATCATGACTCTCTGGTGTCATAGTAGGTGAAATAACTGAACAGACTAATCACAAAAGTCATCTCAAATGTAACAAAACAGAAGCCAAAAGAGTATTTTTGCCATTTTTGCTTCCCAACTCATGCCTAAGTGACATATGCAAGGTCAGTCGAAAAATTCAGGCTGCTTTATGAGAGACAGTTTGTTTTCCACTGTTCCAATTTGGCATCCATGCACTCACACACACCCCTCAATTTTGTAAACTGAAAACCAAGATTTGCAGTACTGACACTAACTCTACTCAAATGATAGTTGCATACATATTTCACATTTGCAGCATTGTTTTGCGGGAGCTGGAAGGACATTATTACACCTCTTACTGTCCACCTGATTAACCAGCCACCTGGCCTAAGCATAAATACAGGAATACTTTTCTCTAGACGTCATGGGAAACAATCTGACAGGACAGATGATAATCTGATTTTATGTTTCAGGATTAGTAACTTACCATTATCATTTGCTAAATTGAGTAAGACACCAATGATGGCTCTCATACAGTCTTCCACTGCCTTACCCACATGGTTTGTTACATTCTGGTGCGGCAGTACCCTACTGTCTGGAAGACAGATGGTGTCTTCTGCACGGTTGTATCTCTGGATCAACTCCTCGCAATGCTGCAGTGCTCTGAAGGTTACAAAAACAGGAGTCAAAATATACAACGCAAACCATTTTCATATCAGTGGGACAAAATTTCTTCACATAAAAAACCCAGTTCCAGCTGTAAACAGCAAGCTTAGTTTTCATTTATCATGCTGGTTTTAATGGTAACTAGCAACACAGTCCCCAAAATTATATTAGAAAGCATCATCTCTTGTACTTTTTTATTAGGAAAAAAGGTCCAAAGGTGCACTTCATAATGATCTAGTCCCAGATTCTTCACATAGGAATCTGCAACATATTAGCAGCACAAAGCACTTTGGACCCAGCAAGTATTGAAGTAAGGCGTTGAAAAAGCAGAAACATAACTGGTATGTTAAGTCACTTGGCCCCCTTTGATGTGCACTAGTTGTCTGGTCATAAAGCTAAATGTGAACAGGACTGTTTGCACTTAACACCAAATGTCTGCAGTAAGATTATTTTTTAAAAAAATATTTGGTTTTTCAGATTAAAGTTTTACAATCACATATCCAACATACAACATAAAAACAAGATTCCAGAGAATCTCCTCGGCTTCCCTCCTCCCCTTTGTGGGTCCTATTGTTAGTCATTTCCTCCTGCATCTTTTATAATAATCCAGATCTTTTACATCTCCATTATGTCCAAAATTCACCATTCAACTACAAATGTTATTCTAAGCCTACTAACAATTTTAGCTGTTTACAGTGGTTTTTAAGATAAATTATAAATTTCCCCCAATCCTTATTAAAATTTGAGTCTTCCTGATTTCTGATTCTTCCGGTCATTTTTGCCATTTCGGCATAATCCATAAACTTTTCTTTTCTGTAAACCGCCCTGAGACCTCCAGGTATAGGGCAGTTTATTAAACAAACAAACAAACTTGCAATAAGAATTTTTAACATTCGTGACATATTTTGATGGTGAGATGAAGCCATGTAAAGCTAACTCTTGTAGACACAATGCTAATTCCAGGTTTGTGTCTTCATTCAATTCTGGCAACAGATTAAGCTTCTCCCCCATACTATACACTCTAGAGGCTTGCACAGAAAACATGCATCACTGTATATGGCCATGTAATTCTCTTTAATTGCTATGATTCAAATGTAAGTAAATGTATACAGGGTTTATGTCAACAAATTTCCCTCTCTGGAACCCATAAACTACATATAAATCTTCCTGTCAATATTTTTACTCCGCTTGAGTGCTGACTAGAATTTCTGAAAGCAGTACTTACATCACTCCCCCAATCCTGTGAGTTCCATGGGGAAGTTGTTGAAAGAAAAAGAAGTTCCCCCAAATTGAGAAGCACGTATAAAGATAATGTGACGTGAGTGTATAATGTTTATATGGGAACATTTCACAATCAAAAGTGATTTTGATTGCAAAACTTTATCATACAAAACATAATTAGCAACAGAAGTTACTTCGAGCAGGTAGAAAAAAGCATATCAGTAAGCGGAAGCAGGAAACAATCTAACTCGCTTTCCCCCTCATTTGAAAATACTAAGCTGCAACACACACACACATGCTGAGGAAAGCTATCACCAAGATTGCAGTGTTAATACATAACCTAACAACATAAACCTTTAAAGAAGTATACCATACTGTATTTTATAAAGCATTCATTAGAACTTACTTAGCTGAAGAGACAATGAGCTGCGAATCCTTATATGCTATCAAGTAACTCTGATTTTCTGGATTATGAACTGTTACCTAAAAAAGAAAAGAAAATATCATACAGCTATCATCTTTTGATGTGCGGGTTAAGCTCCTTTCACCTTCTGAAAGAACTCTATGCTTTTAACAGATCTCTCAAGCTTCTAGAATGCTGCAATTTAACATTCTGCTTTGTGCTAAGCAAGCACCATTAACTTAATTTCTAGAAACCTGGATTTTCTAGAACACTTGATGTCGCCTAACAGCCTGGGCTAAAGGAATAGGCTTGAGCTGGGAGATCTCCAGCCTAAAGCAAAGAGCTAGGGAGTCCTCAAGCCAAACAGAACAAACTCAGGGAAGCCTACAAGGCCAACTAACCAAACCCTCAGCCAGTTTAACTTCTCCAAGCCTGGCCATTTCAACACTACCCCCACTTAGAGCTGACTGGGCAGGCGGAGGTGTTACAAATAGTATACTGTTAGCTAAGAGCCTTATTAACATATAGGGCCAGTGCCACATTTTTACTTTGGGCTTGGTAAGGAATTCTAGAGTCACCGTCCCACCATTAACAGGAAGTGAACGCATAATATCTCTCATGATAATACACATACAGACATGCTAATATACAAATGGACCAGGGTTTCTCAAAATTGGGTCTCCAGCTGTATCTGAACCACAACTCCTGTAATCCCTAGCTAGTGGGACTAGTGGTCAGGGATGATGGGAACTGTAGTGCAAAAACAGCCGGTGTCCCAAATTTGGGAAACCCTGAAAACCTTGTGTTCACAAACATCAATACTGTCAAATATACATGTGTGCTAGTCTACACACACAAACAGGTACATACAAGCTCCCCTCCAATGTGGCTGCAGGTCTCCATTTCTCTCCCCCAAGAAACCAAAAAACAAAATAGAAAAAGGGAACAAAGAAATTCTCCCCACCCTCTCTCTCTCTCTCTCTCTCTCTCTCTCTCACACTCTCACACACACACACACACACCTTGTCAGCAACATCTTTCACCTCAATACCATTTAGGAAAGCGCTAACAGTTAGACATTTGCTGAAGTGGGCTAGTTTTTTATAATTAGATTCAGAATGCCCAATTTGAATATGGCCCATCAAGCTTAACCCAGGGCTAACCCAAAGCAGTGTAGTAGCTAATGAACACAAACGGCACATAAATAGTAAGAAGCTATATGGACAGAACCCATGGGTCTTACTTTCCTCATCCCTGGTTCTGGACCATTAAAAATAAATCACTCTTTACAAAGTTAAATACTTACGCTTTCTAAAACCCGTAAACATCGTTCTGCTCCCCATAATGAAGCAACCAATTTCTCTTCATTTTCATCGCTGCTTAAGTGATCCACACATTCTTTAACTAAGAAACAAAGAGTTTATGTTATTACTAAACTGTTAAAGGAAGTAATTTTTACTTTCAAAATTGCATGTATATGATGAAATACCCTAATATTCCAATTATGTTTTATCAGTATACTTTAAGCCAACTTGTGTCACACACACAAAACACAAAGAGGCCAATTTAAAAATACATGTAGGTCGTGCACATATATGACCATATTCACACTTCATGCTAAAGCAGAGTTTAGCCCTAAGTGAATGGGCCTGTACAAACCCAAGAAATTCCACCTTCTCCTACCAAGTCAGGAAGAGGGCATCAGAAGACTTTAGCTTCACTCATTCAAAATCCAGAATTAACTTCACTTTTAAACCAGGGGTTGTGGTTTAAAAAAGATTTCATAACTTATTCGTTGCCTTGTTATGAAATTTACCTACGGATGTTTTAAACCAGGACCCCTGGTCTGAAAGTGAAGTTAATGTTAAGCCAGGATTCTGTAAAATTGAAATTAAACTGTGCTGAAGTCCTCCATATGGCAGTAAGAGGGAAGGAAGAGGGGAGGTGGGGAACATGAAAGCCAACCCTTTGCTTGGGCATGTTCAGGCTAATCTGCATAGCACCAAACCATGACTAGTTGGTTTATCTAGTGTGATACATATACTGTTTAGCTGTAAAAAAACAAAACAAAAAAACCAACAACACTAAGTGGTTTAGTGTTACATGTGAACGCAACCACAGAGTTATATGCTGGGTAGCCTAAGCTATCAAATTGTAAAATGTACACAGAATACAGATAACCATTTGCTATCATTTAAAAGATTTTAAGATACAATCCTGACTGTCTCAAGGATTTGGCAAAACCACACCACAAGTCTTGTAACTCTATTAACACCAAGTGATCATGACGCTTGCCCAACAGCCCCCATGTCAGATGTGCATGAAAGTCAAGTAGCAAAACACACAGTGACATGACTGTCATGGATGTCAAGAGAATCCAGTCTGTACCCTGTCCAGGAAAAGTCCACTACAACTTCCCAGCACAGGTGTGCCTCAGGTCAGTGGGGATCAAGTGATACCCACAACTTCAGATACAAGGTTTCAATCCTGTGGCAGCTGATACTCATAGCCAGAACTTTCCATATAACCTCTGACAGGGAAAAGTGGGAGCTACGTAGGCTGTTGCTTCTTGTAAAATAAGATTCACTTCAATGAGGACAGCTGATCCCTTCCCATCCATGTGTAGCTCTGGCCACAAACCGTTTCTTTGCTCCAAAAGATACGCATTATCGAGACAAACTCTTATTCCCGAGGTCATCATTGGGATGGCTTGCAATGTTAAAATTTAACTAGGGAACTGAGCACTTCACAACTACTAGGCTCATTCAGTAAGGAGTACCAACAGGCCTCTGCTGCAATGGTGTGGGGGGGGGGGGCCTCTCACAGAATTAACTATGATTAAGATCTCTATTTAAGTTACTGATGGGATAAATTAATAGGGCAACTTAGGAATTTTATTTCTTTGTTCTCTACTGGGGACAGTTCTTTCATGATCTTGTTGAGTATACCTTTTTATTGGCCAAAAGTTGAAACTAAGGTCATATCACTACAGTTGTATATATTATTTTACTACTGCAATAGCTAAGCTTAAGTACACACACTACAAGAAAAGGGTTTTGGAAATTCATAGCATTCCATGGGCTCGTCTATCCAGCGCATCAGAAAATTTCACTATTTGCATGCATTCTAATGCACAGTCCTTTCATTCTACCACACGAGTAATATATAAACTACCTCCTAATAATAAAAGATATATACTTTAATTCTCACTCGAGCTATGTGCATACCTTTATCTACAATGTGATCAAGACCACCAAGAAGTCGCAACTCTTCTTTAAACCAGTCTCCTGCCCGTTTTGAAGTGAGAGAGAGCAATGTTTCCATTGCCAAATGCCCTGTCTAGAAAACACACAGAGAAAAATGCTTTATAAATTAAAAGCAGAACTCTATCAGGTACTTCTTCCATTAATACTGTCACTTGAATCTCGATTACATGATTATGTATTATAAGTTTGAAAATGCAGGTTAATTAACCACCAAAATATTTTACTGCTCCGTGCGTTTATAGATTATTACTGTATCTTAGCAAAATGTTGCTGCACTATCACCATGTCTTACTCCCTTCCAACTCTTTTGCTACTCGCAAAATAAATGAATTCATATGCAAAATCAAATTGCACCATTGTATTTCTTTACCTAGTCATACAATGATTGAGCCAATGAATCACTGTACTGCAGATTGGGGGCAAGTCTCAAAATGTAAGTGGGCAGTATAAAACTGATAATTTTAGTGTAGCTTTACGCATCTCAAACAAAATGGCATCAAAAGCCGCATGAGGAACTTCTGACGTAAGAAATGGATGGCTTTAGACAGGTGACAAATATAGTCCCTAAGTGAGAAGATTGTGTAGGCATCAATCCCTCTATTTGCCAAGTTGTTAACAAAAAGAATAAAACATTTTAAATAATCCATAAAAAGGTTATAAACAGCTAATTAAAACATTTAAAGAATAAAAACCCGAGATAAACTAAACATAGACTAAAACACATATCAACATTCTACATGTCTGAGTAGGCTTGCCTAAACAAAAATGTGTTATCAGGCACCAGAAAAAGTACAGTAAGCCTGCAATTTACATAGGGATTATGTTCCAGGGATTACACCTAAAGCCAAAACTATGTATAGTCCAAACACATTGGGTTCAATGATGGGTGGGATTGCCAGCCATTTCCCCTAGAACCGTCCCCCCACCATCCTTTTTTTTTTTTTGCCTCATGCATAAACCTGAATGGACACAAGTTAAATGCATGTAGGTTGCAGGCTTACTGTACAGTAAATGTGCCTGTCCAATATCAATAGGCAAGGGAGTTCCAAAGTACAACAGCTGCCACATTAAAAGGGGTTCTATGCTGCAGCTGTAACGGTGCCTGTTCCACAGACTGAAGTGGTCAAGTAGGGATATATGGGGTGAGGCGATCTTGCAGGTAAACTGGTTCCAAGTTGTAAAGGGCTTTATGTACTAATAGCAACACACTGAATTTGGCTCAGTAGCAAACTGGCAAGCAGTGCAGGTCTCAGAGCACAGGTGTCAGATGCTGACTGGGTCTCACTCAAACAGGCAAAGTTTGCAGAAATACAAAAATGTTTTAGGAAGAAAACCTTAAGGTGGGGAAAATCCCCCAACACAGTCCAATTGATAACTTCTCCTGCTCAACAGCCACAGAATTCAGAGTTGTCTGGCTGCTGTTGTATTTTTGTGGGGGGAGGAAAAAGGAATCCTGGAAAAGGAATGGGGGCCCAAACAGGAAAACTCCACACTGCAACCTCTTATACTAGTAGCATGTAAAGATTTCATACCAGATAGCACATTTAGCCCTAGTAAAAGTGGACATTTTTATATACACAGAATCACAAAAATAACTGTTTTCAGCTCCCACTCTTTCAAGTGAAATATTATTCAGAAAATTCATTCAAATTCAATTCTATTTGTTCTATACTGTCTGCCTATTACCATGAAGAAGAAAAAACCGTGAGATGAAAACTGCACTGTTAAATACTTAAAAGTGTTTGGGTTTTATCTTTCAAGAGTTCAACACTCTTCATCTGCCCTAGTTAAAATTTTTAGAAGATGTGAGAGAAAGAAGCCATGACTACACTAAGTAATACCTGCAGGGATCACTGCTGTTATTTCAGAAGTGCCAGGGTTTTCCTACACTCTACTGTTCTAAAAGCATCTTTTAAAAGTTAACTAGTTTCTACCCACAAAAACAGCAATAACACCTGTACCATTTTCACATTAGAGAAAAATTAGGTTAACAGTCACACAACCTACCGTTATATTTTCTAGATCAAGGTGTTTGTTGTGAACGGTTTCACAGAGTCTTCGGATTTTTTCCTTAATCTTGTTCATGTCTTTTTCATTGAGCAACTTGGATGAAGAAGAGTCTTGTTCTAGTTCCAGAAGCCGAATCATTAAATCTAAGCTGGCTCTATCTAGATCCATGTTCAAGCGATCTCTGCTCAAGATATACATTAAAGCTGCTGTACAAAGTGATAAATTCTTCAATGGAAAGGAAAAACAGGAAAACAAAGTGGTAAATATTTGGTTAAGATGCAGAAATCCAGTAAGATTTAAACATGAATGTAAGATCCAAGGAGTTACAGTTAGCCCACAGACTTTCATTATGCACGTCAGGGGCAAGGCTATGTCCAAGCAAAAGCTTTTTGAACTCTCAGTTTAGTGGTTCTCCAACTTTTCCCCAAGGACTACTTAAAAATTGCTGAGGGTCTTGGCAGACAAACTTAATGATTTTTCTGCACAGTACTAGATGCTGCATTATTTTTAAACAGTATTTCTTTCGCTTCTTTCATTTCTTAGAGATTATATTTCAGTGCATTCCAAAGAATTTAAACTGCAATAAAATAATACACAACAGACGAAATAAAAACACAATTAAAACCAGTATGAGTATTTAAGTGATGGATGTGCCATTTCATATCTGCAACCACAACTCTACATACGTGGTGATGCTGTGAGTCATCCAGTGTTTTGAAGACCATAGCTACCATTCCATGTGCTCTCAAATGCATTCGGAAACTGGGCATGGCGCACTTTGTCGCCAGGCTGATAACACTAAAAACAAAACAAAAAAAACTTATGAACTAAAGTTTCTCCAAGTCTCTAGCGCAGAATTTTAAAGAATTCAACAACCAATGGAGAGCCCAGGTTGCCTGCCCGCAAAGCCCTACAGTCACAATGGAACATAATCAAATCAAATGACAAGGTGCACATCACAGGACAATGGCTTCGTGTCAAGCAAACCCAAAGAGCGTGGAGGAAACTTTGCCGATGGGGTACTACCCAAAAGTGCAGGCCTGTAGCACAAATAGCCTGACAGTCAGACATATTTCCTACTCCCAGTGCAGCAGGCCTATGGCAAAATCAGAAGCAGTGAGCAATTTGACTCAAGGTGCTCCTCTGTGGACATAGTGTGCCTAGCAAGTGTATGTAGTGAGGAAGAAACCCCCCCAGGGCTCCACTGATTCCCCTTCCCCATCTCCCTTCTATGGCTACTACTATGTTGTGTGATGCAGCAGGAAGCAGTTGAAGTCAGGAAGTTGTCGATGTTTACAATCAGCTGGCTAAGCCACAAACCAGCAAGAGAGCTGCCACCATCACAGCTCCTGTCAATCACTTGTAGTCTGGTCTCTTAGTTAAGGGCAGTCCAGCAAAGAGGATTGATCAATGCTTAGTTTACAGACTGAAGAGCTTCAGTGACTGAAGATCTCCAATCAAGATGCCTGCACACAGTCACAAACATTTAGAGATCTCCTATTCGTTTTCTATTTACCCCGTACTACCTCAGAAAGATCAAGCTACATGAAACAATCAGGTATGCATACATGTACAACCTTACGCAGTGCTACCATTATGTTCTTTGATAGTGGTATTCTGATGACACAAGCTCTTTCTCTTTCCAGCTGTTTCGGTGCCAGCTGTCTGGTGAATTTACTGTATCTGGATCAACATGCTAGCAATAATGGTTAAGGCTGGAGAAGGGGTGCCTGTCATCAGCAGTCTCGCTCTGCTGTAGCAGACAACACCAGTTTGAAACAAGATTTCTTCATGGAAAGAAGGGTGAGACTGACTGGCTACATATGCAATTGATTAATTATTAACCTATTAAAAGCAACTGATGAATTATTAATCTAATCTATGTGACCGTCTGGACGTTTGACCCACCCTAAAATGTAATCCAACTATGGCTCTGATCTTGTGTTTTTCTGTTGCATTTGTGTAAGTTTAGTGTCATTTTTTAGTTTTATTTTAAACTACAGCAAGTTCCCTTGAGCACTCCCTGGAGATGAAAGAGGGGTTGAAAAATGCATCAACAAAATACTTCTGCGGTAACTACTCAGAAAGAAAAAGTGAACTAGGTAATAACAAGTAATAACATCCTTTCACCAGTGTGTTTACCCAAGTAACTATTCAATGCTTTCTTTAAACAGTATGAGACATTCCTTATTAACCATACGGGGAATAAAAATCACACCATGCAACTTCAGAACAATAGTAGGAATTATTTCATTTACCTATTTACTGTGAATGCATTGTCAGGTCAAAATCTGGCTACTATATTCTCTTGAGAACACAGAGAACAAATAGCTCTCTTTTTTAACAAGTATGACTTAAGCTATACAGATTTGACTTCCATTCAACATCAGCCCAATTTACTAGCAATACTTTTTACACAACTGCACCAGTACATGGGTTCTCCATAGGACGTTCCTGAAGGAAACCAAATTGCTACGTGTATATTATTAGCAAGTGGGATATCTACTCATTTGACACATTTCTGCTTTCACTTCCCAATGGTGCAATAGTCTACAATGCTTATGAACACAATACACCTAACAAGAAAATGTGGAAATGCCATTATTAGAAATATCTTACCTAAGGCAACGTGTGTTTAGGGGCTGATTGCACTTCAGTCCACTTAACAAGTATTCAATATCATCGGTGAACTCTTGATTCTCTCCAAATTCGACTACATCATTGAAGTGCTTCACATGTTGAACAACAGTGTATAACTGGAAGGCAGATGTATAAAACTTGTTTTTAGTTTTAGAGCTCCCATTTAAAAGACTACTTTATCTGGCAGCAACAGAAATCATCAGCCAGCTCAGAGTGATAAGTTATCTATTTTTAATAGGGAGGTTTCTCCACCTGGCCAATTGTTCTTTAGATCATAAATGGTAAAAAAAAAATTCACCAGTTTACTTTCGAAACAAGAAAGTTTTAGATATTCCACTTACTTCTTTATCTTCTTTCCTACATTTCAAGGCAGTTACTATCTCTTGATAGGGCTGAGTGGGTATGGTCACAGTTTTTATCACTTTGGGAGGTGGTGCAGGAGCTTTGAACACTCCATCATCTTTATGAATTGCCTCCTTTGAAGACAGCCTTACCTATTAATGAAAAGTACTTAAATGGGTAGGTGTTTAAGCCTTATATGAACACTAAATAGGTAACAGAAAATTATGTGCATTTGTTGCATTCACCCACTGGGATTTTCAGAGACTTCAAAAGTGCAAATTAAATAAGTGAACACATGCTGTATGTGCAAGATGATGACAATTCAGATGTCGTAGGGTATTTGTTTTAAGGGCCTCCAGGGGAAACTGAAATGGAAGTACAGTATAGTGACATCCTTACCATTTACTTTAAGAATCCAGACTAATAGAACCACATTTAAGCTTTAAAAAACTAAGGAGACATACACGAACCCAAAAATATTTTAAAAACACCATGGCAGCTGTTAACTGTTCCTTCTTCTATGGTCCCTGAAACCACACTCATGCTGAGCCATAGAATCATTCAAAATATTATTCCCCCAACAAAATCATTTTGTACTTTCATTCTTGGCTGTGTAATGGAAACACTTTCTGCACACAGTTATCAACTCCAGTTATTTATATGATTTGGAGATGTCTTTGACCAATAAAAACCCCGTTTTACAATTGTGTGGACTGAGGACCAATAACATTTCTAAGTGCATTATAAAGTAATAGATGCAAACATTTACAACTAGCTGCCACAAAAAGTAACTTGTTGAAGCAATTTGTATTTCATTTTAAATTACATAAACCATCCCATATGCTAAGAAGTATAAACATGCAGTAATGAGTTTGGATTCAACCTGCATAGCCACGTACAAAAGAGTAGCCTAAATGTAAGAAACTAATGTCAATGGACAACATATTCTTTGCAATCTAAGAACAGGTAGTTAAAATATCATTACTATTCCTGGTTAAATTCATAACCATTGTCATACTAAAGGCATGACACAACCATGGAATATGCTAGGTTTTTTTTAACCTTAATATCCAGCAGTGTCTGCAACACTACCTTGATGTATACTACTATAATTTTAAGCCATTTCTCAGGCTACTTCTCCTGGTGTAGATGAATCATCTCTAAGTTTAGTGTTTAAGCACTGGGAGGGTTGGCAGAGGGAAAACAAGATCCCCTTACTCACAGGGACACTTGGATTTTTCAACACCTGTGATGTCGGAAGAGTCTCAGATTCTGGTTGATTCCAATGTCTAGCATTGTATACAGCTTTTGTTGGTGACTGCAAAACAAAACAGTTGGAATATTCATTTAGAACCTAACCAGCTATTTATAAGAACACCGATTTCAAATCCTCTATGAGATTTATTTTACATCATGTTTTGTCTTCCACAAAACATTTCACGGGAGTTTTGAACATTAACACTGACATGACAGTGCTTTACTCCCTTAAATTCTAAGAACATCAGAACAGAACTTATCACCATGACATTATGTGCAAAACTAAGCTTTAGAAGGTGTATATATTTGTCTCAAATTCAAGATTTTCTATCAGTTAACATAGTCATGGGGGTGTGGAATAAACAAATATTTCACATTATTCATCTCCTAAAGGAATCTGCATTTTAGTTCACTAGTCATGGGCCTACAACTCTTGACTCTGTTTATTAGCGAGCCATTATTTGTTGCCACAATCAATTGCCACAATCAATGGCCTCTCCATATTCCAGAGAGCTGGGGAGGTTTTGGGACGGATATGCAATCTTCTCTCATTTGAGCTGGAGTACAGAAAAAATAAAGTCTCTCTTCAAAACAGCACTTCTTATGTTCAAATGAGAGCCCCAGGAAGGATATCTGGTGAACAGGACAACAAGCAGCAAACAGAGAGCCCAGTAACATTCACCTCTGGTGAACAAATGGTGGATACCTGTTGTGAATTGTTTTCTATCAAGATATATGAGAAATAAAGGAAGTAAAGGACCTGAGGAGCAACCAGCACGATACTAGCATGCTATAAAATCCAGATGGGTTTTTCATCCTATTATATTTTCCATATATGCATTCGTTCTTGGAAACATGCATTATGAACTACTAGGCTCTGGGACTGTCTCTTAAGCAAAAGTACTGCTAAAACCATGACAGTCTCATTTCATTGGTACTACTTACCCTCTTTGGTCCACTAAATATCTTCCGTGTGTTTTCCTTAGACTTATCACCTTGTGGATTTATGGATTTCTTATTGCTTTCAGGAACACTGGATGCATCTTCTGGAAACTCCAATAGCTCTGCCAGGATAAGAGTAAGACAAGGAGTTGTAATTTTTCAAGTTTGTATCAGGGGAAGTGTCATTTGTTTGTTTATCACAAAAATGTGTGTATGCTATCTGTTACAAAATGTGCAGCCTACTCCTTTTTAAAAACAAACAAACAAACATATTTTTATTAAAGATTTCTTGGTTTACAAAAGTATGTGCAATGTCTCTTTTTTCAAGTTACATTTTCTACAGATCAGTTTCATTTGTTGAGACATTAGTGTTACATTAGGAGGAAAAGTCTCTCAGCAGCCTTCTCCTTTTGACATAAATATCACAGGAGGCTATTATACATTTTATAAAGGGAACAGTGGAATTCAGATGAAAACTCTAGTTGAATATATAAAATTTCCCCCTCCCAAAGGATTAAGGAAAACAGGTAGGGCCTGTTCCACTCTATTGTGGAAGGAATAAGAGTTTCAAATGCACATTCTATGTTAAATAAAGCATAGCTTAAGAATAATCACATGAACATGAAATCTGAAATCTGAACATGAAAGCTGAAAGTTATCAACTCATCAAGAACATACAGCACAACATATAATTAAACTACACACAACAGAAAGAAAATAAACTCACGAGGCCTGCTGAAAAACCTCCCGTAGTGAAATTAATTGCTCCCATTTCAGGTATTAAAACCAGTTCAATAAATTATTATTACATTGGGGACAATCTGGAAGAGCTTTTTATCTGTGTAGTTCCATTCAAAAGCATGGAAGTAGTTATTTGATACTGCAGTCATGAACATGTGCAAGTGAGCCAGGCTCTTGGGTGTTCAGCTATTTTGATGTGCCTACTAAACATTATTCTATTCATGGTTAGGGTTACATGGTTTTAAAGCAACACTTTCACATACAAACCAACAATGAATCCCATTTCACTGCATTCTCTCCAAGTTATCCACCTCTTTAATTCCATCATTCCTTTTTAACATCCACACCAACACAGATTCTTTGGCAGATTTTCGAATCATGCATTAACTTAAATCTGCAATAACTTAAATCTTTAGCTAGAAAACTAACTTAACATTTAGGGATCAAACGTTTAGCACAGGGTTGACATTTAACAACCTCTAGGGGGAAAATACTGTTCCTCTGGGCCAAGCAGAAGGCTTGCATTTGGGGGTGGTGCAAATGGGCAAAAATCCCTTCAATGGTAACCCTTCATATTTTACTACATGTTGCTCTGGAGGGTCTAGAACTTGCAACTGGGCTTTTCCAGGTGCAGGGCACTGTTGCTTGGAAGGTGGAGGTTAAAATGATACTCATGTGCAAACACAAGCAGTCAGTCATGCCAGCCTCGATCCTGGGTTTGTCAAACTGACTGGCTGTGCATTGGTCAAATTAAAGCACATTAATTAGATCAGTAACAAAAACTGAATTTGTTGCAAGTTACAAATATGGTAGTCTTCTGAAAGCCACCATTCTTTTACAGAAGATTTACAGAGCACCACCCCAGGTCACAAGGGGGACATTGCTCACCACATCAAATACAATAAATTCTGTAGCAATTCTGTGGCTGTTTGTGTGGTCTGTGGGTTCCTGCTGAAAGATGCCTACAGGAACATGAAGCTTGAAAGAAATTAGTCGTAGCTTGGATCCCAAACACCCTGGAACTCTGACATTTTGGCTCCCAAACGCCGCAAACCCGGAAGTGATTGTTCCGGTTTGTGAATGTTCTTTTGGAACCTGAACATCTGACTGGGTTTCTGATTGGCTGCATGCGTTTCCTGCAGCCAATCAGAGGTCACGATTTGGTTTTCAAACATTTTGGAAGTCAAATGGACTTCTGAAATGGATTCCATTCAACTTCCAAGGTACGGCTGTATATAATCTATGTGGCTTAAATGGAAGAACAGTGAGAAGGAACAATCTGAGGAAAGTTGCAAGGCCCCACCTACCTAAGAAGAAAGGTTGGCACCTACAATAGTGGAGAGCAAAGGGCCTCATTCCTGCCATTGCTAGCAAGCAACCTTGTAATACATCTGAAAATGGAGGCTCCCACTTACACAACACTATACTTCATAGAATATTTGGCCATCTCATTTGACAGTTCAATTAGACTCAACAGCAACCCACCTACTTGACCATTAAGACACAAAATTCTGTTAGCAAGTTCACCATTTTAAAGCACTTTCAGGAATATTTAAATCCTCTAGTTGACTACTGTGTGAATTCTTACTTCCTTCCAAGAATAACAGCACTCATATCATTTTCTTTTATAAATAAAATCTGCTTTTATATGGCGTTTCACTGAAAAGGAAGAGGGAATATTTTGGCTTTATAAGCATGAACCACCACCTCCAAGAAAAAGAGAGGTGCATATTTCAGGACTGGTTTTTGGGGGGAAGACACTTGAGACCAGCTTTTTCGGAAGAGGAGCATACAAATAAGTGAGGACTTTACAAATATTATCCTTTAGCTACCCAAATAAGAACAGAGTTCACGTTCTCTTTGACAGAATCCAATTACCTATCTATGGCAAAGGAACATCATGCAAGCAGTCTTTAATGCAACAAATTGCTGCAATGTTTAACATGGCAGAGTAAGGAAGATATGAGAGTTATCTGTTGGGAGGAGATCCATTCTAGCCTTGATATTTTTAGACTATGCTGCAGAACCAATAAGAGACAGAAGACTTCATTTTGAAATGTTTACAGGAAACACAGTCATCTTTGAAGTAGCTGGTTCATAATCTGTCACTCTCCTCAAGTCTCTTCTACTCTGTGATTAATTCATGTTTGTTTTGGCTAAAGCGACCATCACTACAATGATTAACCAGTTTATCTTGTCTGCCTTGCTGATCAAGCATTTCATGGGTTGTACTTCAATGGCCCAGTTTAGTTTTGGGAGACTCTGTAGTCAATGAATAAAACTACAGCAACTGCTTCCATTTATTTCACAGGACTACAGTTATCAAACAATTACTGGAGGATGTGGTCTTCATCAGCTTTCTATCCTAGGTCTGGGTACCTGAAGATTTATAACCTCATATACTTCCACACACTCAAAATTAATGTAACTCAACACCTTGAATGTTTAAAAGCATATGTAAATAAAGGAAAGAGGTCTTGATTATTCAGATCTTCAGTCTGCATATTTACCAATCCATACCAAAAATAAAGATCAGTAACTTGATTTTTATCAGAAAGGCACAATGCCATCACTAAGTTCAATTATTTTTTGTTGTTTTCAAAGACAGTCTAACACATACTACAATAAAAATCACATCAATTTCCTAATATTTTGATGAGACTTCCCTGGAATTTCTGTGAAACAAGATCAGACCTTGTTGACTACACAAAGATGAAGCCACAGTTTCTCAATTCAACTGCAACAGAAAACTGCTTTGAATTAACCAGGTCAGAAGCCCTGAAGCTGACATGCAAAATGTGGGGGCCAGAAAGAGGGAGGGGGGAAGAAAGAGAGAGAAAGATTCAGATTTCCACTCTTGGCTTAATGCACCAAATTATTAACTATCAAATTGTAGCTATTAAACTGTGAAACAAGAGCAACAAACTAATGTTACCTGGGTTAGTGCTTGACTGACTGTCTTGTGAATAGTTCTCACTTCCATCAGAACTGGACTGAAGTGAAGAGGATGGAGCTGCCCGGTTTCTTTTTTTATTGACTTTTCTTTCTAACGGCCGCTCTTCATCGTCATCTTCACTTTCACTCAAGTCATCAAAACCAAAGTATTTAATTTTGTAATTTGAGCTTCCAGATGTTCTAGAGCCGCCTTCACCACCCCCTCCTTCATCATTGTCATCAAACCCAAAGAATTCTAATTTGACATCTTTTTTGGATTTGGTATTGCTAGGTCGAAATCTAGTTGTTGTCTTGGTTGTTGCCATGTCGGCTTTCTTTCTCAGACGTCCTGCTTCTCCCAAATCAGTAGGTGTAGATGTGGCATACTCATCAATACGATCCATAGTGTCCTGTATAGTAACATTACAAACCGACAAACATGATGGATGGAGAACAGTGTAGTCTCTAGTCCTTCCAGTCCCTCTAAAACTGGTCCCACTACTTAAAGCAACTTTTTTCACTGGGTTCACACCATCAGTATTTGAATCACTGTTTGCTTTGGCTAAAGGTTGAAGAGTGCCATCCAGTAGCTTATCAAAATTTGTTGTCCCCTGTGATTTTGTTTTGTTGGATCTACAGTATGTCCGACAATTACTTGGCCTGAGAACAGTTTGCATCAGTTCTTCGCTAATGGTTTCCTTTGGACTTTCCATATCTTCTTTAACCAGATATTCATCCTTGTTTTTTATCTCTGAAAGTGGTTCATCATCAAAACCCAACATATATTCTCCTCTTCGGGTATCCTCATTCTCATCTTCCCATTCATATAAGCCAGTCACTAATGATTCCTTTGTAAGTGACACTTCTGATGGAGAGTCTCTCTTCCCGATATGGGAGTCCCAAGAATCATGAGATTCCTTCATTTCAATATTGTACCCAGAGATTTCTGCTGTTTGAGCATTAATTATATTATTGTCTTCAACATTCTTGTAGATGAAGTGACTGTTCTCACTGTCGTTAAAAGTCTGTACTGTATCTATAAAACAAATAGCAATAATTAAATATAGCTTATATTTTAAGTTTAACTGCATTTTATTTATACTTTACAAAGAAATAGAGAAATATTCAACAAACAGCAATTTCCCAGTTGGGAAACATTAACAAGACAGTTATTTGTTACTACTAGGTTCACTACAATATTACCCTCTGTTTTTTAGTGACCCGAGACAATAATCAGGCCTGGGTACAGAGCATATCTCCACCCAGGTGGAGGAAAGAGTCGCTCCATAGCTGCAGTTTTTCTTCTGCAGCAAAACCAAACCAGCATTCACATAACATGTCTGGAGTTTGCTGACTAAAGCTGCCACTCCACCCACTTTCATTACACTCCACCCGGGTTACCCAGTACAGTACCATGCCTCAATGTAAACTCAAGACAGGATTGCTATGGACCAGCCTCAGCCACATTCACAACTCTAACTGAATTCAAGTTACAGATCCTTTGACCAAGCCATGTTAACACTGTTTGGGATAGTACTAAACATAGACCAAAACCTATAAAGAGCAATGTTGGAATGGCAGGTCAGATCAAGTTACTACATTTAGTCAGAAGGTCGCAAAATAAATTATAAAGTGATGTACAAACAGTTTAACATTTCATTAGCTGCGTACTAGAAATTTCTGTATTCAATCTTCCAATATTAAGCGCAGCTTATTCACTGAATACACTAGAAGCTTTCTTGTTCCTGTAAACCAATTAAAATTTGCATAAAAGGAAGTAACTGCAGTTACTGTCATAAAATTATAGAGTTGGAATGGACTCCCAAAGGTGTTCTATTCCAACCCCCTGCAATGCTGGAATATGGAGGTGGCCCTATGGGAACTGAACCCATGTCCTTGGCATTGGTTCACTACGTCAGGTACTGCATTGAAATCTTTAAATGCCTAGGTTCAAATCTCTGCTCAGCCATGATGCATTGTAGAGGTGATTCCAACAGGTCACTTTCTACTCACTCAACCTCACTTAACATTTTTAACAATGTTTGCAGGAACAATGGCCTGCTTCACAGGACTGTTGTGAAGGCTATTAAGTTAATAAGCATAAAGTCAATGTATTAGCAGTGCTTTAACTACACCTAATGAGCCCATTATATGTGGCCTTCTGACTTCTTTCCTAGCCACTGTAAACTAAGGTATTTGCAACACTCATCAAGTTTATTCCTGCAGAAAATCCACACAATGAAGCCAACTAGATATAATAGAAGGATAGTAGAAACAGTTTGATAAAGATAAGCAGTTATTCTCCTACCCCCACAAGACCTAAAAGACTGCTAACAGTTTTATCTATTCTCTCCAGTTTTGCTTTTGTTACATTTCTCATAAACCATCGGTCCCTTTTTTTGCCTATGGCTCTGACCCACGAAAACAACTAGAAATATAAGTGGGTTTTTCCTGCTTTACTCCTCTCTTCTGCTAAATGCCCCATATGCTGTGAAAAGTCACTTCTGAAGATGACATGGGTAGGCTGGACACCACCATCCCACCCCATGACCAGAAATATCTTCTATTTATATTTTCACATAACTGAATTCAAGTCTGCATCTGTCAGTTGAAACGGTCAGAGAAATCAGCAAAATCATAGACCATTCATGTTCAATTTACACTGTTCTCTTTTGTGAAGGTAGAGAAGTGAAGGGAAAAGTCCTCAAATAAAACCTAGCTTGTGGAATTTCCTTCTGGAAGAAGTTTGCCTTGTTGAATTTTAAGTATCAGGTCACACACTTTGCTTTTTTTAGAGGCTTTAAGGTTGCAAACAAAGTTTCGTTCCCTATTGTTTTATCGTTTAGTCTTATTTTTAGACTTGCTTTTTAACTACTCACCTAGTCACCACTGGCAACAACAAAAATCATCCAGGCAAATGAGCAGGCTGCCAAAGGAAGAATGGAGTACTGCCCTGACAGCCTGCCATGTTTCTCTGCCATATAATCTTAAAATATGTGCCAAGCTCATCTCATTAAAACTTGCAGCTGAATTACACATTACCATCTTTATGATGGAACTTGCAGAACCAAGCCTGCCATTACCTACACTTGAGTCCAGGAAAAGAACTTTCTGCTGGTGGGCAATACAAGGTCGGCTGCCTCCATCAGCCATGCTCCTCTACTAAAGGGAGACAAAAATGTCATGAGAAATCTCGAATCAGTCCTGCTATTGGCTATGCTCCTTGCCCATGCTGATAGCAGGCGGCTTTCCAGAGGAAACCTACCTCTGCCAGGGATGAAGCCATTGGGGAAGGAATACTGCCCACTTACACGTAATAGGGAGCTTCTGCTGCTGCTAGAGTGAACAGGCATGGTGGGGAGGGATGGTGTAAGGTGGCACAACCACTGGGGACTAGCCCAGCCCATTGTGCTGAAGACTAGCATCAGTCACCAGATGTTGCCTGTATTATGTGCCTACTCTCCTTCTCTAATACAGATCCTCATGAATAACATAAAGCATGAGGTGAGAGAATTGTATGTGCACTACTTAAAAGACTGGATTCTGCTTTTTCAAAAGGCCTGCTTCTGCAGTGTGTATGGTAACCATGCTTTCCTTATGTTGTAATTAGCATACTGTTTTACTGTCTTTGGCAATCTTTATTTGATTCTTTATTTGTACCAATTCAAATAACACTTCTTCAAACTGATGAATGGTCACTCGCCTCTAGTAAACAACTACATGTTTTGCAAGTTTTGAGCTGAATTCAAAGTGCTTATGTTGTCCTGAATAGCCTGGGACCCAAATATCTTAGAGAATGTCTTTCCCAAACCAACCTGTCCTGGTTTAAAATCAGCTAAAGCGGCTTTCGTGGTGATTCCTACAAGTGATGAGGTCAGAAGTAAAAGGGTCTATATCAGAGCTTTTTCAGTGTCAGTTCCAAAACTTTCAAATGATCTCCCCAATGAAGTGCATCGTACTTTTGGAGATGAGAAAGTCTAATTTGTTGAAATCAGTTTGTACAGTACCATATTGTTCTGAATATAAGCTGCACCCGGATATAAGCCGCACCTTTAAAATTAAAGGGGGGAAAAGACCATACCCAAGGAGGAGTGGGGGCCAAGGGGACAGCGCTTTCACTCCGTCGCCGGCAGCAGTGCTTCCAGAGGGTCAGCACCACCATAGCCCCTGACGGGATGGGCAGAGAGAGGCGGAGGCTGGTGGGACTCACATGCCCCTCAGCGGGCTAAAGCCAGGCAGCACCTCGGGCTAGTGCCAGTCCCAGCACACCGGCTATATCTCCTGTTCCTCCTCTTAGCAGACCCCGCTCGCTGTCTTGTCTGTGCTCCTTCCTTCCTTCCTTCTCCTCCTTGCCACCTTCTGGCTCCCTCTCAGGGACCCCCCTTGCTGCGCCGCCATCTTGGGAGCCAGCCCAGCCAAAACCAGGCAACATCCGGGGACAAGCCTGCTCCAAGCCAATTTTTGTTTGTGAATATAAGCCGCAGATAACCCTACTTTCCTCACAAATCTCCAACTATTCCACCCTCACATATAGGCTTCAAAACATTCCAAGTCAACAAGTGTAGTATGAAGCTTTCAGAACATACTTACTGATAAATTATTTTAGCCAAGTGTCTAAAATATTTCAAGATCACAAACAGTTAAAGTGAAGCTTCACTACAACTTCTACCAACAGTGGTAATCAAACAAAACTCTCCGCACTGCTTGTGCTCTAAAGCAGAAATGCAATGTCAATTCTCATGAATTCAACAGTAGAGCTCTTTAAGGATGAATGCTGTTGACAACAGAATTTAGCTTGCTACTTCTGCTTTGTCCTTTGACTATTTCCTACCACGTTTACCAAAATTGCTTCTTTGCTGCTTGAGCTGTTGCTCTAATCTTTATGTAACCTTTCCACAGCCTTCTTATCTAGAATCCTTCCAACAGATGTTCCCTTTAACCACATCCTTACCAGGACAAGCTTGTGTTTTATACAGATAATAAATGATATTTAATAGGAAAGGGAGGCTTCAAGGAATATCATGATTTTATAGGACTATAAATTAGAATCATAAAATGAATTAGGGGAAACTGGCACCACTATGCATGTATCTGCTGTATTACTACTTGTAAAGGGCAGAAAAGATAATATAACCATCCTTTAAGCAAACTCCCAACTGTATCATCAAGATAAGTTTTCCAAAGTGACCAAACAGAACCATTACAGGGTTTTTGAGGAATTCAAGTCAAAAAGGAACAGAGTTAGAACATGTGCCCGTAAAGAGTTGTCTCAGACTACATTTGTAAAGTTCTGGTTAAAACAGGCACTAACTACCAAAGGACATGCACTACTCATGAAAGAATAGTTTATACTCAAAAAAGGGATGTGACACTTAGTACCTGACAGTCAAAGTCTGCAGCTACAGCAGGGGGGAAAGGATAGCCCTACACAGATTGTCCTTCATCCCTCTTAATTTGGCATGGCACCTACATACTTTCATTTCACCTGCATAAGGAAAGCAAACTCCTTCAATCAGCTGTTGTTCATAAACTCATCCAGCTCTGGAGAGGGGAAAAGCATGGAAGATCATATGTGTAATAGTACAAAAGCTTTCCATTAGTATGGCATTTCATTAGCAGAGCTCAAGCTTCTATCAGGAGGCAAACATTAAGCAACCTCCTCCCAACTACTACTCATGATTGCACACACCAGAGTGTTATCAAGAAAGCCAGAAGGCAAGATCAAACCCTCCTCACTATGCACATAAAAATCATCCTAGCACTTCTGAACACAAGATCTCTCTGAAATATAAAGAGGTTCTGCTGGTTCTATAGATCAGAGATATCTAAGCTGTGCCTCTCCAGGTGCTTATGGACAACTCTCATCATCTCTGGCCAATGGCCATGGAGTCTGGGGCTGATCAAAAGTTAGGCAACGTGTTCTAGATTTTGTGTTTTTGGCTTTGTAGCTGCAAGAGCTATTAGCTTGTACTATCAATTGGAGGAGGCAACATTTACAAAAGCTACATAAATCATTATGATTACTGTGCATCTCATCGTCAGATTGATTACAACATCTCTAATCATAACTCACATTCCTATCAAAAAAAACTGTATACATAGCGGCTGCATTTCTGCATCATGCTAAACCAAAGCTCAGTTCAATATGAATTAGAAGAAACAAGCAACAACAAACTGCAAGCTTATTTACTTCCCTCTCTTTTCCTCCCATGTGTCTGGACTCCGGAAGGAGTTCAGAAGTGTTTGTTTCAAGCTTTGATTAACCAGAGCTTGCCATGCCATCTGGATCCAGAACTGTCATCAATCTTAACTATGTTTAGTAGAAACAAACCTGCTTCAATAACTGTGTGAAGGTGACTTGTTTGAAACTAATCATAGCTAAGCAAGTTTGTTGGTCCAGCGTCCAACAATTGAACATGTTAAGTGAAATCTTCTGTATTTCTCCTCTAGGCTGGACAAGAGTATGGTGAGGGGAAGCAAGCTCATTGTGATTTGTTTCTACTAAATTATGGTTTAGGATGACATGCAAACAATGCCAAATTGACAGTCAAGCAAGTGGCCCACTTTTAAAAATGAATTAGAATCTTCAGTCTTGGACATAAGAGCACAGTAGAACCCTACTAACTTAAAACATTCCATAACTCTCTGTCTGAAATTTAAGCTGCTGAGGAGGCGACATTTTGTGAGATGCCAGACTTCGAGTGCCCAACTATGCATTTAGCAAAGTAACAAATGTAGTAATTTCCTGGATCACAGCTTATGTGATCAGATTTAGAGATCATATACTGTAATCATATAATATATGTGTATACTACCTTAATTTGATTATCTATGCAGGCACATGCTTAGTGAATGAACACTTGTTGTTTTATCAAGTATTTCAGGAATCCAGATGAGTATTACTCTGTGGGATTTAATTTGAGCACACCAGAGATTTCTGGTAAACATGATCTGTTTTTCTTCAATTCTTGAGCAGGTGGATTTTGCTAATGAGTATTATTGCTCCATGATTTTCAAATGAACCTCACCTCCTGTTATACCTTAGGTCTTTTATCCAACTTTTAGACACATTTTCAGAAACTAGTAACATTAAAATACAGGTAATTACACCACAAGCCTCCCCTTACAGCTATGTATAAAATGCAAAACCAGTTGCACATTATGCCAAGTGAGCAAAAGAGAAGCACAAGCAAGTCAGTTTTGTGCTTTCCTTGCTTCTGCAGTAACATACAAAGTGCAGACCCCCTGATCTCATAGGAAGTGATTTACATGTTCTATTTTGTAGGGAGGATACTTAAGTCCCTGCTCTGCATGTTACCAATAAGACAGCAAAAACAGAACCCTGTTTCAGTAGCATTCTACCTCTAGTTTTACAAATCTGTTTTTTCCTCACAACAGCAGGACGGGGCTTGTCACCTGACAGGGCAAAATAAGTTCATTAAAATGTTTATGGGAGTTATGGGGGGTTGGTCATTGGCTTGCCACTTAATGTAACATTAAGTGGCATTCAAGTGCTGTTCTTTTAAAACTATTTTTAAGCCTTGCACTACTCTCCAGGATCTCTGCAGCCTCACCCGTAAGCGAGATATTGGAGAGTCCTGGGGGTATGTGCCAAGCAAAAAGCCAAACTTCTGCAACTGCAACTGCCCCCTCCCAGGACATTTCTTCTGCTCCACTCCAATTTTAGATTTTTCACTTCATCCACAAATGGCTAAAAAATATCAGCCCTAGTTTCAATCATATTTCTGTTTTTCTTACTTCTCTAATATACAAAGTAGATATTTTGACATTTCTGCAGAGATCTTGACATTTCTACATCACTATAGAGGTGCCTTAAAAATAATAAAGGAAAGAACAAAAGCAACCAAACTGCACTTTTCATATAAGTTGTTTTAATCTTAAAAGCTAATACACTACTTAACCATACATAAGTTGGCAGAGCCACTGTAAAGGGAAGAATCCATCGTTGTTTGGGCAACTTCCACTCATACTAGGTGCGGATTCACATTTCCCTCTTCTGCACTGCACACCTCCAAAATGTGCTCCAGAAGATCCCTCAACCAATTCCTTGCTTCCCTGACTTTCAACTTGCAGCTAAAGTGAGCACAAATTTATTAAACGTTCCAATTTGCAAATATGTGAAGTTTATGAAACTTCATCTCTCACAACCAGAAATCCCTACGCATAAGCCCATGCCATGGAACAATTAAAGTAGAGGATTTGATAAGCATCTGAATCTGAAAGAAAACATTATTTGGTCAAAAGAGTGGCCAACTTGCATGGCTGACTTTAGTTGTTAACTCTGAAATTAACTGTATTATCCAAGCTTACCTGCTATTACAGTGTTAACACTGCTGCTTTTGAGGTCACCATCCTCCATATTTCTGTTTGAGTTCTTCTCTTTTAATCCATGAACAGCATTCTCGAAAGACACACATTTGCTGGACAAAATATCTTCACTGATTGACTGAGTAATTTTGCTATTAGATTCAAGTACAGAAGAGAAGTCGCCAGACTGAGATGGTTCGACTGACTCCAACTGAGAAGAACCTTTAGCTTGTGACACATTCTTTGAAGATACTGGCAGGGATTCTTCATCACTGTCAAATCCAAATGGGTCTTCTATTGCTTCCTCTTCTATTTTGGGTTTCTTAGGAATTTCAGAAATGTCTGGCTTGATGTTGGGCCTCTTCTGTCCTAGCTTGGCCATAAAGGTAGTTTCTCCCCATTTTGTACTAAGAGTAGTCCGTTTGTTGGAAAAAACTTCATCAAATTTTGAACTGCCATTGCCCCCTTTCCTGCTATACGTCTTCCCAAATCTGGATGTCATTTTGACAACTGTTTCATATTCTCTGTAGAAATAAAAAAATGAGTATCTTTTAGAATACAATTTTTACTACATTTTATTACATTAAGAGTTACACACAGAAGAATCTTTCAAATAAAGAATAATTACAAGAAACAAAACTCATGGCACTTTTACAGAATATCAGCTAAAGCAGGGCTGTCTAACCTGTGACCTTTCAGACATTACTGAACTATAGCTTCCATCAGACCCATCAGGAATGATGGGAATTGTAATTCAGAACCTCTGGCGGGCCACTGGTTTAGCTGCCGCCAACCTAAAATAACACAAGTTATGGATAAAAAATTAAGTTCGTCATCTTAAAATATTTTTCACACTACATTCACAGACTGCACCTGACGTTGGGGGGATGCATAGTTAAGCTCCCTTTCAATTGTTTACATGATCTTGTTTGTTTTTATACTACTGATGACATGCCATTCATATTAGAAAGTATTCGCATCAAGCCTTAAAGGCAAATTTTCTACCCAAGGTAGAAAATTTGGCCTTTACTATTCCATCAGACTGCAGCTGAGGCAGAAGGGAAGCAGGACCACTCCACCAGCTCTGCAGATGTTTTAGGCTTCTTCTCTCACTGAACTGTTGCCATCTAAGCTGCTTGTTATAAGAACCCAACAACATCAAGAAGCGGTTCTTGTGCTTGCTAGTTTCCATCTTCCCTCCTCAACACTTTTGCCTTGTGCGTCATGAGGTCAGAGACTACTTTTTTAAAAAGATTATCTACAAGCTGTCCTGGGAAGCTTTTTGGTTGATGAACAGGGCAAGAATGCTTTAAATTTATGGAGTTAAACCATGGGAGTTGGGGGAAGGGGACATAGCTCATAGGTTATGGGTACAGGCTTCTGCCTCTGACCACAACACTTTGGGGGGCTGCTGCTTCTAAAATGATTAACACCAGTGGCTCACTCCATGACTCTGATGCTACAACCATAAACAGCTTTAATCATCAATGACAGCACAGCCTGTTCTCCTTGTGGTTTAAACCACAGCCATAATATTAGCTCTCCTCTTAGCAGTAAATGGCCCATGCTTCAACCATGATATGGAATCAAAACACTATTTGGGGCTCTTATCTTAACAGTGAGTCTCTTTGTAGTTTTCCTAAGAACTTGGGACACCAGCTATATTGTTTTAATAAACATTCCTGAACCTCCTAACAGATGATAAAACTACTGACTGTGACCACAGTGCATCCTACTGAAATTTCAAAAACAAAACATCCGAAATCTCAATATTTTGAGTGGGGGAAAGAGTTTCTTATCAGCATAGAAGACAAACATTCTGCTAAAGAGAAAAAAGCTGATGTTTCAATATACCAGGTAAGTATTTCAACACACAAAATTCAAGACACAAAGCTTGTACAAGAGAAAACTGCAAAAAAAATCTATTAACTGTTAATCCCATTTTGCATACATACATATTAAGTAGATTAATGTTATTTTCAGTATTTTATTTTATTTCTGCCTATAAGGTAGCAACTGTGGCAACCTTTCTTTCGGTTTATGTCCCATTCATGGGTGTAGCCAGGATTTTTGTTAGGGGGGTCAGAACCTCAGTTAGTTAAGTATTTTTATTGATTTTTGTTGATTGGGGGGAGCAGCTGTCCCCCCCCCCCCAGCTACACCCATGGTCCCATCTCAATCAAAGCACATAATTCCCTACAGACCCACACACAACTAAGTCAGTGTTTGCAAAAACAGCCACAGATTCAAATTGCCTAGAACAGTTCTTTAGAAGGTAATACAGTAGACAAAAGAAAGTATAATGTATTGATTGATTTGTTATCAAGCCATGAAAAGCATCCCTAACAACTAAAATCCTGATATTCCATGTATCGTACATTGTTCAGGAATACCCTAAGGCTGTGGATCTCATCCTCTCAAACATAGGTATCCTTACGCCCACAAGACTACAAGATTGTTTTAGAAACGCTGTTGCCCTTATCATGAGATTTGTTTCTTTTTAAAACCCTATTGTCATTTTAATTCTTCAAGCTTTTTAAAGTTGCTATTTGAAATATGTGGAATATTTTATTAAACCAGGGTAGATTTATTACTAGACCATCAAATGATTTATGCATACATACTGTACTAGAAAATGCTGGTGAAAGGGGCAATTCAAATATGACCTGTATTGGTCTCGCCCAGTATCAATATCGATACACTGGTGCAACTTGTCAACTTATGCTATAGGGGTGGTTAATAATAATGTTAATAATAATAATATTAATAATAATAATTTATACCCTGCCCATCTGGCTGGGTTTCCCCAGCCACTCTGGGCGGCTCCCAACAAAATTAATGATGATGATAATCATAAAGCGATAAAACATCAGACATTAAAAACTTCCCTAAACAGGGCTGTCTTCTAAATGTCAGATAGTCGTTTATTTCCTTGACATCTGATGGGTCTTCCACAGGGTGGGTGCCACTACCGAGAAGGCCCTCTGGCTGGTTCCCTGTGACCTCACTTCTCGCAGTGAGGGAACCACCAGAAGGCCCTCAAACCTGGACCTCAGTGAATGATGGAGGTGGAGACGCTCCTTCAGGTATACTAGGCCAAAGCCATTTAAGGCTTTAAAGGTCAGCACCAACACTTTGAATTGTACTTGCTAAAGCACAAATTACATTCAGCCGCACACACCAGTTTTTAGAACAGCATCTTGCATAAATTGCCTGGTAAATAACTTGTTTTACTTTACTGTGGAGATGGGGAAACCTGCAGCCCTCCAGATGGACTCAACTCCCACGAGCCCAAGTCAGCAAAGACCCATAGTGAATGATGATGAGAGCTGTACCGCAGCAAGGTTTGGAGGGCCACAGGTTTTCTATCCCCACCCTAAAATTTCATTTGATTAGACTAGGAATTATTTAAGTTCAAAACACCGAAGTTGATCTAAAGTTCTGAATCAGATCAAGCACACTATGAAAAAAACTAGCCTTGAAATGTTTGCAACTGAAGCACCTTCTCCTTTCTGCCTTCCACTCTTCCAAGAGTGCTTCAGTTTTACTTTGCAGCTCACAACCTAGCCCTTTCATATTCTTTGCTGACCACTAAGATATTAGTTAAGGCTGGGACAGTGAAAAAGAAGATCACAGAATATAAATGTGCAAAGTTTACTACATCATTAAGTATTAATGCTACGCTCATATGGTTGTTCAAAAAGTTATATCGAAAGCCACCTGATCAATCATTTTAAAGATAGCCTGCCTCAAGGGCCTTAATGTATTTTCCTGCACTGCTTCTCAGATCATGAAAGGCGGCCTCCCCCCTTTTAACTTAAGGCACCGACGATGGTGCCTTATGACGACAATGGAGGGGCGGGAGGATGAGGATACCGTGTCATCCCAAACGAAAACACCAATTTAATGGAAGCTGTCGTCATTTCCCTTCCGGTTTTCTCATGGCTGTTACCGTCCTCCCGCCTCGCTCCCCACCCACCCATGTAACTTGCAAGAGAGCAGACAGCGCCAGCGCGACCATAGGGGAAAGCGGGGAAACAGAGAGCCACTGCGGCCACTGTTTCGGGACAGGGGCCCCTACGAAGAATAACGGATGGGTGGGAAGGCTCTGAACCCGAGGCGGCGTCCCAGCCGCGCCCTAGTCCGAGCTGGGGGAGGGGGGATACTGGACCGCACGAGACAGCTTGGCAGGAGTTCGTACTTTGGGCAACAGCCCCCCGAGATCGGGAGCATCCCGAGCCGAAGCGGGCCGTTCCAGGATAAGGCCAAAGTCGCCTCCTCAGCCCTTTACCCCGGAAGAGGCCTCGGCGCCGGGAGTCGACGCCTCTCTCTCGCCTCGGATTCCGACCCACCTGATCGCCCCAAGGCCCCCCTCGCTCGCAACCGCCCCGGCTCTCGATTGGGGGCGACGGGAAGGGGGGGGAGAGGAGAAATGCAGGGCGGCGGGTTAAGACCCTCGAAATAAGCAGGTCGCAGGAACCGATTCGCCGCGCACGTCTCCTCGGGAGTCACTTGCGCCGCGGTCCGCTAGGAACCGAGTCCTCCTGCCCGGGATTGCAGCCCCCGATCCCGGATGCGTGCCATGGGGGGCAACCGGGGAGGAGTATTTTTTAAGCTTTGGGAGGGGGTAGGGAGAGACGATCCCTTGCTTGGTGTTTATAGTCACAGAAACGCAGGCCATCCGGGCTTGAGGGTTAGCGCCTCCACCCTCCCCCTCTTCTTATGTACACACGCATATTTATATACGGATTCCCTCCCGGCTTCATCCTCGGGGCCGCCTCGCCTTCTGCGGCCTTGCGAGGCTTCCCGTCGTGTGGGAAGGCGAGGAAGAGAAAGCAGGCCGGCGCCGCCTCCTCACCCAGCGCCGGAGATCCCGGCATAGGCCTCCGGGAGTTCGCTCGGCCTCTCTCTAATTCTCCACACTTACCACAGCGAGGCCGAGGAGCACACAAACGCACAACCACAACCGAGAAACGGAAGGGGAGAGGGGGAAACGAAACCTGCCGGGGTAGGTGGAGAGGGACGGGGGTGGCGGGGCCTCCGCCGGCTTCGCTCCCAACGGCCGGGCTCCCGGGCTCTCTCCTTCCTGCCCTCGCTCGGTGCCTTCGGGCGACGCCCCCGGGGCCTCGGGCTCCTCCGGCCGCCTCTCCTCACAGGCCGCCCGGGCTAGAGCGCCGGCCTCGCGTCCTCGCAGGAGCCGCCGCGCCGCCGCCACCACCGCCGCCGCCTCCTCCTCCGGCTGCTGCTGCTGCGCCGCCGCTTCCTCCGCGCCGGGATTCTCGCCGCCGCCGCCGCCGCTGCTGCTACTACTAGTGCGGCTGCTCTTTGAACAGGGCCCTGGACCATCTCTCCGCCATTTGCCCCCCGCTCCTTCCGTCACTGCGCTCACACACTCGGCCTCCCTCCGTCGCCGCCGCCGCCGCGGCCAATCGCGGCCCGCGTTGCTCAACCGACGAGCCGGGCGACGTCGCGCATGCGCCGCCGCCGACCGCGTTCGGGCGCCCCCACGAGTGCGCGCGCGCGCCAGCCAGCCGAAGGGCTGATAGGATTTGTAGTTGGTGTTCTGTCTGGCTGGTTGCAGCTCCTTTCCTCGCCCCCTGCTCCTCCTCGCACGCGCACAGTCATGGTGACTTCCCTTTTTGGGGACGCGTTTTGGAGCCTCTGGAGAGTTCTGCAAACCGCAGCAGTGCTGACTCAGTGGCCCAAGGGCTCCCTTGACAGCTTACCTACTTAATATCCCCTGTTTTTTGTGGTCTGGCTTTTGGATGCGTTGCTTTTTATTGAGTTTGAAATGGGTTGTTGCTCTGGTTTGCGGGAAGGACCCATGGGGTAAAACAGGGGTAGGCAACCTAAGGCCCATGGGCCACAAGCAGCCCATGGGGGTTGTTTAACCGGCCCACGAGCCACCCCCAAACCGAGCCACCCGCACGGCAAGTCCCCTTGCACTGCGCTAAACCGGTGCAACTCGCTACCGCGGTGCCAGAAACCATGTCTGTGCACGCTCAGACGCCAAAAATTGTGTCTGTGCAGACGCAGATGCCAGAAATCGCAGCCGCGCACGCTCACAATCCGGCCCACAGGGATCTCCGCTGGAGTGAACCGGCCCAGGCAAGGTAAACCTTGCTGACCTCTGGGTTAAAAGCAGCATGCAAACAACAACAATAATTTTATTATTTATACCCTATCCATCTGGCTGGGTTTCCCCAGCCGCTCTGGGCGGCTCCCAACAGAATATTAATAGCATGATAAAACATTAAAAACTTCCCTAAACGGCTGCCTTCAGATGTCTTCTAAATGTCAGAAAGTTGTTTATTTCCTAGACATCTGATGGGAGGGCATTCCACAGGGTGGGTGCCACTACCGAGAAGGCCCTCTGCCTGGTTCCCTTTTTAACCTCACTTCTCGCAGTGAGGGAGCCGCCAGAAGGCCCTCGGAGCTGGACCTCAGTGTCTGGGCCGAATGATGGGGATGGAAATAACAACAACACATACACACAACACCACCAGGGCCAGATTAAGACCTGTAGAGGCCCAAAGCACTTCAAAGATTTTGGTTCCCCTATATATATCTATTTCAAAATACAGTCGTACCTTGGGTTCTGAACACCCTGGAACTCAGATGTTTTGGCTCTTGAATGCCACAAACCCGGAAGTGATTGTTCCGGTTTGCAAACATTCTTTTGTAACCCAAATGTCCAATGGGGTTTCCACAGCTTCTGATTTGCTGCAGGAGCTTCCTGCAGCCAATCAGAAGCCACGATTTGGTTTTCGAAAATTTTGGAAGTTGAATGGACTTCCGGAATGGATTCCATTCAACTTCCAAGGTACAACTGTATAAACAATATTAAACCATAAAATACAATTTTATTTTTCAAAATAAAACAACCTACAGTAAGATGGAAAATGTTTCTTTTTCTATATTTGTATAAATAATGTTTATTTTCAGCTGCACCACATGGTCCATGGTAAATCTGGCATTGGAAAATGTCTGTGGTGTTTCCCTTCCCTTGATGCCTTAATTATGTGCTTAATATTTAATCCAGCCCCAAACTTCTGATTGTTCTCTTGTCTCTAAATGCACAAGCTTCTGCTGCCATTTAACTCCTTTTCTTCCTGTGTTTTGGCTTTAGTGTGGACCAATATTGTATATAGTCTGATTCTCTAGCCTAGGAACATAACTCAGTCAGTAGAACAAGAGACTCTTGATCTCAAGAGTCCTGGTCAAAATGGAGAACGTCCAGTAATGGGCAAGGGCAAGCTGGTTAAGAACTCTCATTGGACTTTCTGGACTTTACTTTGCCCCATAAGAATTAATTCCATTCACATATATGGGATAAAATAAAGGAGGGCCCCTGGTGAAACCGTTGATGTGCATGTGAGGGGAGTGGCACTGGCCCTCTCCCCTCCAACCCTGCCTAGGAGACAATGTTGAAATCCTCATCATGGTTACTTTATATAGCTCTATCAGTATAGCAGTGCTCTACCATGTAACAAAAGCAAAAAGGCAGGTCCCTACATGAATAATTTTAGTCTAAATTTCAACACTGGCCAGAGTCAACAAAAGGAGAGGAGGGAGAGAAGGATAACCAGAGCAGGGCTCAGCAAACCTTTTCAGCAGGGGGCCAGTCCACTGTCCTTCAGACCTTGTGGGGGGCCAGACCATATTTTTGGGGGGGAAATAATGAACGAATTCCTATGCCCCACAAATAACCCAGAGATGCATTTTAAATAAAAGCACACATTCTATTAGTAAAAACATGCTGATTCCCGGACCACCAGTGGGCCGGATTTAGAAGGCGATTGGGCCGGATCCGGCCCCCGGGCCTTAGTTTGCCTACCCATGAACTAGAGGGAATAAATTGTTGTTGTTGTTATTTTAATTTCTTGTACCCTGCCCATGTGACTGAGTTGCCCATCCGCTCTGGGCGGCTTCCAACAGAATACAAAAGAATATTTATTAAATTTGAAAACCGCCCTTCATCCAAAGATCATAGGGTGCTTCACAACATAAAAATACAAAATACATAAAGTTAAAAGGGACATTTGTGGTGTTACATGTATTTACATTTCATTTCAATCTATTCTCCCAGTTCATGTTCCTCCCTCTCTCATTCATATTGGAAACTTCTGGAGGCAGTAATCTGGTGGTTTTGGTTAGTTTTTGTTTTACGTATGTTGATATTGTAAAACACATGTATATTGATGCGGCTTTGTGAAATATTTTATGAAGCAATCTTTCTTAATTTGTATCTTAAGAATCAGTCTTGTCTGACAAAAGTTCTACGCTTGCTTATGTGCCCAAGGCCATAGTACTGAGTCTACTTTTGAGGCAGAACTTGAACTGATTTTAGCCAGCAATCTGCAATTCAGCACCAGCTTCTGACTGGTTGTTTTCCCTTACTAAAGGTATTGCAACCTGGCACATAGATGGCCTGAAGCCTAAATGCTAGAATACGTCAGCTTTGCAAATGCTGGCAAGTGGAAAACCAAGTATCAGTGACTGAAATCAAAATTCAAGAGATGGGGAATCAATAAGTGATCCCTATCATGTGCACTGTGGCAGAAGTGCAAGCCAGTCAGCAAAGAACTGGTGCAATCATGCCAGTTTGAGAATCCTCCCTAGTAGGTAATAGCTGCTGGAAATACTGGTTCTACAGGATGAAGCAACAATGATAGTCATGCATCTCATACAGTACATCTTCACCAGTCTTCCCCACCCCACCCCCGCCTCAACTCCTATATGAACAATGAGCAACATTCGCTCCTGAAAGACAGTATTACTAAACTATATTGCGTTAAAAATCTCAGTTTTTAATAGGATTGCCACCACTGTTTCTCATAGAATGTATTTTAAAGCAAATTTTACTTGGGAGTTCTTTCTCACACACACACACAAAAATTGTGCTAGGCTGAAAGAATTACATTAAGACTAGCAATATTTCTGTGTATCCTGCATATCCCTTGGTTGTCACAAGTTTTTGTCTAAAGCAAAATCTGAAGTGAATTCAGGTTCATTCTCAGGCTGAGATATGAGAAACTTTGAGGAAACCCAAAGGTTGTTTTTTAAAAAATATAGTTATTTTAGGCTGGGTTGGAGTGGGAATTGTAGGATTACATTTTCTCACGTTGTAGCTATCTCTGATAAGATGTGGTAAGATACCAGATGATTGAATCCAGCAGGACTTAAATCAGTGCAGTACTATTGAAGCTAATGGGGCAAGTTAGGCTGCATTCCTAACCCCCTACCTGGGAGTACGCCCCATTTAATTTACTATGTCTTACTTTTGAGTAGGCATGCTTAGGATTCTCCTGCTAGGCATGTTTTCGGTCCCACTGATTTCATTGGGACAAAAGCACACACAGTACTGGAATCCAGCCCAGGATACTGCCACTGGCATTTGGGGCAAGTTAAAGTTCTTTTCTTTAGTGGTGTTTGGACTTTTGGTTTTATTGTTTTTATTTCATGAATATGGCTTACTGACATGAGTGGTGGATGACTGGGGTGCTGATGGGTGAGGGAGCAACAGGCTTCAGGGTCATAGCTTCCTCCTGCCCTGAGTATTCAAGATGAGGAGTTAAATCTCAGAATGAGGTTGTGGGCCATATTAAGACATGTTGAAGCCCTAAGGTATATCAAGCTTCAAATGCCCCATAGCAGTAAGCCCCACACTGGAAAGTGTATTATTCTCACATAATGGAAATGAAAATAATAAATCATATTTTTGTCTTATCAGAACAATGATGTCTGTTTTAGGTTCTGTTTTCCCCGTTTATTTTCCAATCAATTATGTAAAACTTGAAATTCTGTTGTTGTTGTTGTTGTTGTTGTTGTTCAAAAAAAGTTGCAGTTAGAGGTCCAAAACTAGTTTCCTCAGCTTGCACGGCCCTATACCCAGCCTTCTCTCCCTTTTCTTTCTTTACCACCCTTTTTTCCCCTCAGCAAGTCTTTGTGTCGCTTTCTGTGGAAGGGATTGAAAGGGACTCATCAATAAAGCACATGGCAAAGAGGGCCCCAGCCTCCTTTAACTCCTAGGATGTATAGCAACCATGTTACAGGTCATAAAGTCCAAAATGAGCACCCCTCACATCCACCCCATTAACCTAAAGCAGTCCTACCCTTCTTCCATAGTCATGTAGAATCGTGAGAACTGTAGTTTGTTGAGGGTGCTGAGAAGTGTGAAGTTGGCGCTGTTGAGGAACCACAGTTCCCAGGATTCTTTGGGGAAAGCCATGACGTTAAATGGATATGGGTGGAGGAGTGAAACTTGAGGACAGAAACCCCCACTCCCAGAGGTGGCCCCTGGACTTCCAAAGGATTCATTCACACAAGCACACGTTATTTATTTACAACGTTTAACATAAAACTAGGTCCTCCAAGCAGGCTTGCAAACTTTCTTGACAAAATACAGCCGAACAGGAAAATATAATCCACCCATCAGAACACAGAGAGCCAAGTGCCAGCAATGGCAGGATTAAATAATGGTGAAACCGTCAGTAAGATAGTTAAAACAGCTCAGTCTCAACCTTGCCCAAACACACCTTGTGAAAGAAGGTCCTAGCAGCCCATCAGAGGCTATTAAGCAAGCAGTCAAGGAATACAAAAGCCCATCCATATTCCTATACAAAACAGAACAGCCTAGCTATTACATTACAAGAGAAATTCTAAGGAAGGGGGCGAGGGGAAGAGCAATTCACAGGCCCTGAAATCTCAGGGTGGCTGTGTAGTTATTTACCTCCAGCAGGTGACAGAATTAATGATCCAGCTAGAATAATGAAGCGGAATAAAATAGATTTAAAAAAAAACAATGTGTGTGTGTGTTGTCACTAAGAAGCAAAGGAATATGGCAAAGCACATCTGTCAGTAAACGCATTAAAAAGCAGCACTAAATAAATGAGCTGCTCTACTCAGTTTCCTGTGATTCTAATTATATTGGTAGTACCAACGCTGAGAGTGGCAACCTCTGATGTGTATTAAGTAGATTCTGCGTGTTTCAATTGCACAGTCCTTTGAAATCTAAGAAGGTACCAGATGCACTAGATAGATAGATCTGAAGAAGTTGACAAACAAACTGAAATCACAAGCCTATTGATTGGCTATTGTGACTTCTGTAACAAAAATAGATCATTACCAGAGCACAGAACATCCAAACATAAAGATACAAGCATCTTTACCCTGACATGGTATTTGACCTACCCAACACTTTTTGTTTTTGTCATTTGTTTTAAACTGATTTTAATGTTGTGTTTTAAATTGTGGTGTCCTGCCCTGGGAACTTATGACAAGATGATAATATGATAAGTTGACACTTGTAAAAAAATAGAAAATAAAATCAACAGCCATCCCAACAGCTTGTAAGTCTTAAGACTGTTGCCTGTTCCAAACATTCCTATGGATCACCTACTTGCTGAGAGGCTAAACAATCTAGCCCATATGTGGGGGGGGCGGGTTGGTACATTGAAATGATCACACTTGAAAGCGGGAAGGATAAAATGAACAAGTATTGTTCATCCTGAAATAATTCCATTTAGAAAGCTACTTGAGGATGCCCTTCAGCTCTCAGAAAGAGCACTGTTGTCATGTGTAAAGTGAGGAGATGAACTTTGCTCGTGGCTTTTGGGAAAATAAACAGGGACAGAAAAGAATTGTCAAAACTAGGTGAGGTGGGTGCCCAAAACTGTGATCTGGGGGAGGGGCGGGGGGACGATATTGGGTGGCAGTGGCGTAGCGTGGGGGGTGCAGGGGGGCCGGCCGCACCGGGCGCAACATCTGGGGGGCGCGCGCTCGCACTCACAGCTCTCTGCCCCTACCTGGCTCACTCACTCACTCTCAGTGCTGTCACAGATTTCGCAAAAATTTCGCTATTGTCACACGGATCCTCCTCCTAGCCAATCAGGAAGTGGGATCCACTTCCTCATTGGCCGAAAGGCGAATGCATGCAATTGGCTGAGCTGCCGAGCAGGAGGCGGGAGGACTCGAGGAGACGCGGGGAACTGAGTAGAAGCCGCCGCTGCAGGTAAGTCTCTCTGCAATGAAAGGGGGCACATTGGTCTCTCTGCATTGAAAGGGGGCACACTGGTCATTCTGCAATGAAAGGGGGCACGCTGGTCTCTCTGCAATGAAAGGGGGCACGCTGGTCTCTCTGCATTGAAAGGGGGCACGCTGGTCATTCTGCATGTTGAGCTGACCAGATGGATTGAAGTTTGGTTGGTTCAACAGTGACGAGACAGATTTCGATCCATATGTAGCTGCTCCAGCTCAACATAAGTTGATGTAAGCCAGTGGGTCTAGCAACCTTTAATTTTTTTTAAAAAAAATTTTTGCTGAAAGAGTAAGGCAATAGGCATGAAGGTGAATAAACATTATGTTAAGAGTAAAGAAATGGTTATACAATGAAGGGGTGCTAAAAGTGCAGCAAGGCAAGAAAGTGATTTTCTTTTTTTTTTCTTTTTTTAGAATTTTAGCAGAATACTACACCTATATCATGCCAAAATAAACTTGTATTTAGATGCATTTTACTTAAATTACATCAGTATTTTCATAACAAACAATACATGTGCTTAGGGGGTAAGGGTTTCTTTAACTAATCTAGTGGAAGAGACTCGAGTGCTAAAATCCACGGGTTAAAAGGTAAAGGTACCCCTGCCCGTACGGGCCAGTCTTGCCAGACTCTAGGGTTGTGCGCTCATCTCACTCTATAGGCCGGGAGCCAGCGCTGTCCGCAGACACTTCCAGGTCACGTGGCCAGCGTGACAAGCTGCATCTGGCGAGCCAGCGCAGCACACGGAACGCTGTTTACCTTCCCGCTGGTAAGCGGTCCCTATTTATCTACTTGCACTTGGAAGAGCTACTTGGAAGAGACTCGAGTGCTAAAATCCACGGGTTAGGGGGCGCAAATTACTTGCCTTGCCCGGGTGCTGACAACCCATGCTACACCACTGTTGGGTGGTTGTTTTTATTTTGATTATATATTTTGTGGTTTTATATTTTGATTTTTTTCCTGCGAACTGCCCTAAGACCTCCGGGTATAGGGTGGTATATATATACAATAAATAATAACCGTGATGTGTCAATTTCCCTTCTCTGCCTACTTCCCACACATCAAGTAGGCGGGGTGGTGGTGGAGGGAAGCCTAAGGCTTCTTCTGCCCTTCCTTCCTGCCAACATGAACTCTGGGAAATGTAGGTGTTTTTCTTCCTCCTCGCTCACTAAACAGAATTGGCTGGAACCTACAGAATCATAAAATTGTAGAGTTACAAGGGACCACAAGTGTCATCTAGACCAACCCCCTGCAACACAGGAAACTAAATTAAGTTAATCTAGCTACTTTTTGCAGGAAGATGGAGTAGGCAGGCTGCCTAACTGAGCAACTGATACGATAATCTTTATTGTCATTGTCCCATACAGAACAACGAAATTGAAAAAATCTGCATCAGACATTCAAAAACCAACAAGCCTGCTATCCCAGCTATCCCAGCCTGGTTAGCCCCGTAAAAACTCTGATACCCCATAAATAAATACCATATACTCCCATAGAGACTACCTTACACTGCGTTTAAAACCAAAATCGCATTTGGATAGAAACTGTTTCTCAGACGGCTAGTCCTAGTCTTTATAACCCCGTACCTTCTTCCAAAAGGCAGAAGCTGAAAGAGATCATTTCCGGGGTGTGCACTATCCTGCACTATCTCTGCAGCTTTCTTATGACACCTGGAAGTGTAGATTTGATCCCAGGTGGGAAGAGTGCACACTTAGCCACACTTAGGGCAACCAGAGATTCCTGAAGCCTGTGGGTCAGGGCTCTGAGGCCCATGGGGCAGGATAAGAGCTCCCTTTGGTGCTAATCTGACTCACTTGCCTGCCTTTTTGGGATCCCAGGAAAGTTTCCTTACTCGCTTTCAGAGGTGTGGCTGGTGTCATGGACTGGTTGGACGCAGAGGAATGGTGATAGTAACCCACTGGGGAACCCCCAAGGGAAGAAGGCTCAGAACCAAGGGGTTGGTGGTGGGACAATGATGAGGGGTCAGAGGGAGAAGACTGGGAGGAGGGGGTGATCTTGAGGCCCTAGCTAGTGGCAGAGGCCAGTTTGTTGCTTCCCATCAGCTCTCCACTGAATGATGGCACAGTATATTCTCATACTACCACTAAAACTTTTGGTTCAGCAATCTGTATCAAACTGGGCACATGCATTTGGGCTTCTGGGCCTGTGACATGACTCCGTGCAGGTGAAGCCTTCAGCAGAACGTCAGCAAACACATTCCCTCCCCAATAAGGAGGGGAAACAAACATTTTTGGCTTCTCTGCAAAAAAACAACCTGTCGCTCGTCCTGGTTCCAAGATACGGGCCTGCCTGCCTTTATTTTCTATCCATTTTGCTCCTACAAAATAGACTAGATTCTTGAAAAAAAAGCACCGGATGATTGCTCATTCAAGGGCTGCAACATCAAAGGCTGGTTGGTCCTTGAGACGCACCAAGAACATAAGGTCAGGTGGGTGCATTTTGAAAAGTCAAGTCACAAACACTTTGGTAGAGAAAGGAAGACACTTAATGCCACCTGAATGAGTGCAAGGGTGGTGTGTGGCTTAAATGGTTTTACAATTCAATTTTCCTTTAGGAAAGGTTAATATAACTCTTTTCCTTCCTCTGAGATGCAGTTTACAGGCCAGACCATTCAGGATCGTAATAGTTCCTTGCAACAAAGTATATATATTCAGTGCTTTTTTTCTTAAAAAAAAAAAAATGTTTAGGGGTACTCTCATTTTCCTATTCATTTTGAAATACTGCCCCTCAGTGAGGCCAAACTTAGATTCACAAAATGTTTAGGGGAATGCGTACCCCTACGTGCCCCCCCCAAAGCACTGTATACATTCAGTTCCTGCCACTGGATCATTTCATATTTTTACTCCCATCTCCTTAGGCCTAGTGAGAAAGCCGCCTCAGGCAACTGACTTCGGGCATCGTGAGAGGGCATCAAATCATGGGCGTAGCCAGGATTTTTGTTGGGGGGACAGACCTTTTGTTGGGGGGCGCAGAACCTCAGTTTGCTATGTATTTTTAAAAAATTTCTATTGATTGGGGGGCAGCTGCCCCTGCCTGCCACCCCCCCTTGGCTACGCCCATGTATCAAATTGTTAATTATTTTTTCTGTTCTGTTTTCATTTGCTGAGGGCAGGGAGAGATGCTTATGGGATTTTCTGTCTCAGGGGCCAGCCTTGGGTATTATTGATGCCTTGACTGGGGAAGGCATTTGCCACTCTCCCTGGCAGCAAATAAATAAATAAATGTTCACAGGAACATGAGATGCTGCCTTCTGCCATTGGTCTATATAGCTTAGTATTATCTACACTGACTGGCAGCAGCTGTCCAGGTTTTCAGACAGAAGTCTCTCCTGCCAGCCCTAGCTGGAGATGCTGAGGATTAAAGCTGGGACCTTTTGCATGCGAAATAGTCACTACGCCTGAGCTACAGGCCTGTATTCAGCTGGCCTTGGATGCAGCTTGCTTTAGGGGGGTTTACTGTATAAGGACAGTCTCCCCTCCCCAGCTGACATGGCGATAGGTGCGTCACATAGTCTTCACACGTAAAGTGTGCCTAGACGCATTTTTATAAAGGAGAAAAGCATATTTAGTGGCATCCTATTGCGTTAGTCTGCACTGACACCTAATGGGAAGCAAAGAGCATGGCAGTGGCTCTGGAGGAAATGCTGGGAATGTTTAACTCACATCTCTGTCCTTCGGTTCATTAAGAAGGAGATTGTGGTAATTCAAGGTGAAAATCATGTTAGACGCCTGAATTACAGTTAAGGCAAAGCTGTGAACTTATTATTCAAAAGAGGATTTGGGCTGCACCTTGAGTGCGTTTTTTTTTTTTTATCATTGTCTTCAAAGGAGCACTGCTAAATTATACAGGTCCTTGACAGATGTAAATGCAGGGAAGCAAAGACTGCATTATAAATCGGAGCTGAGCAAAATGAAATTAAAATGTAATTGAATCGGGGGGAGACCCTACGGAATGTGGGATCAATAAAGAGCTGCCTGCATGTATTTATAGTTCCGCCCACACCCCAAAATGTTAGCAAGGTAGGATTGGGGGGGGGGAGGGGAGAGCCAAAAAACAAATAAGTTTGTTTTAATTGTTGTAGTTGTTGATGGAGGCAATTCATATAATATCAACACACACAAGAAGCATATTGTCAAAATGTCAAAGCTAAGGAACAGGCGAAACGCTTCGGGCACCTGGTTGCTTTCTCGTTAATGGAAAGCATAGCTATGACTTCATTTGAAAGCATAACAAAGGGCATGGACTGAGCAAACATGATGCAGAAACCTTGCTGAAGCTAAGCAGGTCTGGGTTTGGTCAGTGCTTGGATGGGAGGCAACCAGGAAATACCACATTGAGCCCCATCATGGGAGAAAGGCAAGATATGAATGTATTAAAATCTGTAATAATTTTAAAAAGCATATTGCTACAGTCTCTCCACTTCTGAGGATGAAGAAATCTACAGGGCTTAGTTTTCTTCCAAACAAGATTTGGAAGATTTTTATGATAGCTGTTTATTCATTTATACATGTGTGTTTTCACACACACACACACACACACAGAGAGAGAGAGAGAGAGAGAGAATATATGCTAAGCATGGGGGAGCAGACTAGCAAGTAGATGGAAAATGCAAGTCTCAAAAATAGCAGCAGTACCCCCAAAAGTAAACCAGATGCTTTGAAGCCCCCCCCCCCAATGATTTCCCCTTGCTGGTGGTTACTTTGCCATTGCCAGCTGATTTTCTTCTCTGGTGGTGGGGTCTCTGTGTTGTGGAGGGAGGTGGAAATGCAGCAGCAGAGATCATTTAAGTATGTAATTTAAGGGCTACCGGTAATTCTGTTAGTGTTAAAGTAGGGTTGCCATATTCCCAAAAGTGAAAATCCGGACAGAGCTGCTGAACTTCTTCTTTTTTGTTTTTGGTTGAAGTTGTTGAGCTTTTGGGGGCTTTTCTTTAATTTTTTAAGATAAAAAAAAAATTAAAATAGCCCAACTTGCCATACGTCCGGGTTTTCCAGGAATTGGGGAGGTGTTGCCTAGCAACCAGGCAGACTGGCAAGATGTTTGCTGGTGTATGTTGGGTCCTATACATCCCTGCCCTGAACAAGGACCAAAATAAGAAAGACAAAAACTCTCTGTTTCTTTCTCCTCAAATTATATACTGTTTTTGTTCAGTTTCCTCAGGAATATGTTATCAGGATTTCCTTTCCTTTCCTTTTCTCCAGACTCCTTATAGTAGTGACTTTGCTAGGGTGGGAACCAGCCCTGCAGAGAGATTGCCCATTAAGGTAATGTCTCAGGCCAACCTTTCCCTGACCATGCTAAAGAGTAAACCATGGCAAGATCTGCAAGTCACTCCACATTACTTTTGGAGGAGATGCAATGACTGAGCGAGTTTAAACCCTTAAGGGCACAGCTCACCAGGACCTTCTCCTATGCAAATCTTGACAGGGGTGAGCACAGCCAATTCGGAGCAATGAATGGCTGCCATGCCCCATCAGCACTAGAGGACAATAGTGGAGGGGGTGGGGGTGGCGACAAAATCTGCTGCCTCTCCATATTTTTAACACAGGGAAAACCCTTTATTTCAGGGCTTAATTGGAAAGTGTCCATTCGTCTCAATGAGCTTGTGCAGCCGGACATATTGAAGGACTGTGTTTTCAGTTTGGCTCGACAAATCTGAACTTCTGATATTCCATTTAAAATTCATTTAAGCTGCGATTGTTTTTCAGTTTTCTTTTTCTTTTTTTAAAGGTTCTGTTCATAACACATTTGGAGGCGTAATAATCACAGACCCAACCATTTTGTTTTATATCCTACCTATTCTTCAAGGAGCACAACATAGCCTGCATGTTCCTTGCCTTTCCCCCCTACTAACAGCCCTTTGAGATAGGTTAGACTGAAAGGTAGCGACTGGCCTACAGCTACCCTGAGAGATTCATGGCTGAGAAGGTATCTGAACCCAGATCTTAAAAAGAGATACAGTGGTACCTTGGGTTACAGGCGCTTCAGGTTACAGACGCTTCAGGTTACAGACGCTTCAGGTTACAGACTCCGCTAACCCAAAAATAGTACCTCGGGTTAAGAACTTTGCTTCAGGAAGAGAACAGAAATCGTGCGGCGGTAGTGGGAGGCCCCATTAGCTAAAGTGGTACCTCAGGTTAAGAAAAGTTTCAGGTTAAGAACGGACCTCCAGAACGAATTAAGTTCTTAACCCGAGGTACCACTGTACATCAACAGGCCCTGGAATTCGTGGTGAAGCCAAGTTGAGATGCCGTAATGCGATTAAGTACAAGGAAGCAGTCGGTGCCTCAATTAGTATTTTGCTTCATTAGCCGTAATGGGGAAGCCCAACATTCTCAGCTGGCCCTGTCAGTTAATATTAACCACCGACTTCAGAAAGCACTATAATAACAGAGCAGAAATGGAATCCCACAGAGACACCAGCAGTACTTGACAAGGAATGCAAATATCCCTCCGCTGAGGAGAGCGTTATTGCCATCCTCAGTTCACACCACTGTAGGGCTTGTTGGAATACTCCAAAGAGAACAACAGAGCCGCATGCCGTAGGTTGTTTTCGTGACCTGCTGCCAGGATAAGAGCAAAAGGCTTGTGAAGACATGCATGTACTGCGTTATTGTTACAACCCTTAATCAAATTAATCTGTCAAACCACCTCTTTGTTTAGCTCAGCATTGTCTCTTCAGACTGCTAGCAGTTTTCTAGGTTTCTGGGCAGGAGAATTTTAACCCCTCCTGGTGGTAATTCTTCACATTTGATGCCAGGGATGGAACCTGGAGTCTTCGAGGGCCTCAGTCTCCACTGGGCAACTTTCTGAGGTGTCATTGATGGGTGGAGCCAGGGGCAAAAGTGGGCGGGACATCATGTAAATGATACACTAGGCAATTTTCTGCATACACAGACTGCCACAGACTGGCTGGCTGCTGAGGAGTGGAAGGGCTAGGGAACCTCCAAGGGAAGAAGACTCAGTGCTTGGGGCGTGCTTGGGGAGTGGTGGTGGGACGGCGATGAGTGGTCAAAGAGAGAAAAGGGAGCAGGCTGGAGGAGGTGTCGGAAGCTGAAGAGGTAACAGGGTTTAGTGAGCAGGAAGAGGCTGTGGAAGAGAGCAGTCCAGAATCAGAGGCAGAAGCTGAGGCAGGAGAAGAGGGAGACCAAGAGGCAGAGATCAGGCAGGCTGCTGAAGAAGTCAAGGAGTCCCCCCTCCTGCTGTAAGCAGCTCCTCCCCCCCCCCCGTCTCCCAGAACTGGCAGAGGCATGAAGACAGCAAAGCAGAGACAGACAAGGTGTCAGAGTCTCAGTTTGCTTGGGAAGGAGCTGAGGGACAAGGAGACTTAGAAAACTGTCCTCGCAACTGCCTCATTGGGACAAGACCTGCTGGGAAGAGTTGCTGTGCTCACTGGGCAAAAATACTCAAAAAGTGTGAAAAGCAGAGCTGGCGAGAGGGGTGGCCTTGGGAGGGGGTGTGGTGTGGAAAGAGTACTGAGGGCCACATACAGAGACTGAAGGGCTGCATTTGCATCCACCCCAGGCCTGAGCTTCCCCACCTCATAATTGCAGCCTCTCTCATTCATTAATTCATTCATTCATTCATGTATAAAACAGACTAAAACGTAGATTCCTTCTCTGCAGGGAGATTCCAGTTTACAACTTAACATCCGCAAAGCTACTGTGTCTGTCTAGTCGCAATCCCACGTCTCCTGAGGCCACACAGCCTCTGGCTTTACAAAATATCCCTTATTTAAACAGGAGTGCAGCGGAATGCTGTACTCAACCATGAACCTTTGTCAGCTAAAACTGACATAACTCAAAAGACAGTGATCATGCACATGACTGTCTTTGGAACATGAATAAAACATTTGTGCCGTTGCATTTTAAAGTAGGTTCCCTTTAAAGGTCTCTGTTAAACGCTTGCCATTTACACTAGGTGTGGATCCTGCTCATCAGGATCTAGTCAGGGAGAAACTGCTTCAAAGGAACCAGCGGCAGCAAATTGTTTCTGATAGCAGAATCTTGGAAGTCGAGATGTTCCTACCTGAAATATTAGTGCGTCCTTGTGCTGTAGCATGAACCAAGATGTATTCACTCGATTACTCTTGCGCTTGTTGCTCTCTGTGCGCAAAGCCATAGCGGCAGTGGTTCTTAGTTGGCTGAGGCGCGAGGTGTCTTGTCATAGCCTGTGTCAGCTCATCGAAAGTGCATGCCTCTATGTCCCTGGATGCCATCAGACCTTCCAATAGAGTGATGGCGGAACTTCCCATCACCGTCAGTAGCACATCCACTTGTCTGCCTCCCTAGTGAAGCCTTGTAGTCAGACATAGCTCCTTATTCGGCAGAGCCACTGTGGCCATTCTGTAGGATGGCTCATATCGAAGTCCGGTGGCAGCCGACTATGACTGGTGGCCATCCTCGGACCTGGAGCAGTTGCTTGTGCGATTGTGGGTGGTTGTGAAGACGCAGCAGGAGCGGTCTCATTTCCGGGACTATTTGCTGAGTCCAGCGTGGCAGTGAGGTTGCGCTTATTGCGAGGCGGCAGGTGGCGGTGCTGCAGTGCAGTCTTGGGCCTCTGGCAGCCGGCGGGAGCTCATCGATCCCACCTTCGTCGCCAGTATTAAATGTTCGGAAAAAGTCAGAATCCCAAGGCAATATAAGTTCCCCAACTAAGTTTATTCAACATTTGTCAGTGACAACAGCTCACTCATAGGAACACAAGAACCAAACTGACTGGACACACTATAATAAACCTGAGCATGAACTGACCGTTGACAGTTGACAGTTGAAAGTGCATGCGCTTAAATGCCCTTAGAACGTTTGTCTACCAACGCTTCTATGATTGGTTAGAACACACCTTGTAACATAAAATGTGTTAAACCCAATACATAGCAGTTTGACATATCTCCTACAAGCCCACTTTGACAGACCAATGGTTATCCTTAGGGAACTATACAAGATTTCCATCCTCTTATTCAGGAAATGGTAGTTAGATTAAAGAACATAACAGGAGCCTTGCTGGATCAGACCAAAGGCCCATCTATTCCAGTATTTCTCTTCTCACATTGGTTGCCTGAAAACCCCAAAGCAAGACGTGAGAGTAATAGTCTTCTCTCACACTTGTTCCCCAGCATCAGGTATCCAGTTCAGGGAGGCAGTATAGAGCCAATATCAACAGCAGCCACTAGCAGCTTTATCCTCCTGTCTAATCCCGTTTTTATTTCACCTACGTAGTCACAAGAAGTGTGTGTGTATGTGTGTCTTCAGTGCACCTTATGAGCTGCTGTAAGTGTGTGCTTTGTCAATAAAAAACCAAACTATTGGCCGTTTGTCCTGCTTGGGCTAGATATGCTCAGGACACCTGCGTTAGATGGGAGTTTCCGCTGGCTGACCAGGAGGGGCTGGGAGGCAGGGCCCGGCAGCTTTAACAGATGCTGCAGAAACTAACAAGCCTGGACAGCTTTCTTCACGGTCAGCCCCTCAGACGAACACACCGATATATTTTGCCCTTGAGTTACGACCGGTATGCAAAACACAGGAGGATTCTTTCCCGATGAGCTGAGAACTTCAGGGATACGGTTATAAATATGGCTCACAGTTCACTTTGGCCAACAGAAAGTCTTTGCCACTCATATGTACTCTCCTCACGGCTCCCTCGGTTCTGTATTCTGTGACCTGGAAAACTTCCAAGTAGGCCTGACGTGATAAACCGTAGCTGCTCCAAATGTCAGTGGAAACCACATCCGTTTAATAGACTCCATTCACTGGCCCTGCGTTCCCAAGAATAACTCTTTAAATTGGCCTTGACAGTGACATGCAAGAGCACTGTGGTATATTATCTGTGATAAATGTTTGCATTTCTGTGAACTGCTTAATAACACAGCATTTACCTGTTAGCTCAGAAGAAGTTGATAGGCCCATATGGAGAATTGGGAATTAATCTTGGGAATAATCCCCAGCCAATGCTGGGGAATGGAAATGGAAATGCAGGCCTTTCCTCATATATATATATATATATATATATATATATATATATATATAACCACCCTGGCATTACTTGCTAATATAACAGCAGCATTGGCGGAGTTCAGCAGCAAATGTAGGATTGTTGCCCATCTGTAAATCTGTGGTTTTTCCTCTAGCTGTACTGAACGTAGCACTACAGAAGCATGTTTGCCCATATTGTGTGCACCCCTGTCCCGTCATTGCCTCCGGTAAGCAGATTTTTAAAAAAGGTATTAGATGTTTTGAAAACCTTGCAACCTGTTTGATCAGGAGAGATTAAATGGTTATAGTATCATTTGAAGTTGCCCCCAGCAGTTAATGCTTGCTGGTTATTTAAAGAGGTGAGCACTTTGAAGCGGATGGCAATTATACGCATGTGTCAAGAAAACTGGGTTGAATGCGGAAAAACTAAGGCTGGGCTCTCTTTAGGTGGCCAGCTGGTATAGAGCAGGGCTTTTGAAAAGGCATTTTCACAGATGAATGAAATCAAAAGGAAATTTTTCAACTTCCATAGCAATACAAACGACAGAATAATCTGAAACTGCAATAAATGCCTTTTAACAGTAATTAATGTGATTAAAAGAAATCCATATGTCCAGGATTTCAAAGATGGAATCAACCTCTGGTGGGGGATTTCTGAAAGGTGGCGCTTTGTCCTTGATCTTAGGCAAGTCTATCAAAAAGCTGAACAATTTCAGTGGTTTCCTTAAAAAAGGCTCAACAATTCTCGGGTCTTCCTCAACAACTTTCGGGATATGTCCTGGTTTTTACTTTTTGAAATATGGCAACCCTAGTTCAGCAGGAATATTTAACAAAGATCTTCTCTGTTCAGCTTTTATACCACACAACAGCTCCAGTCTCTGAGCACTGTCTTTTGCTTCAGCCATAATATTTTTGCCTTTTACAGGTTACATACACACGTTCTGCATGCGAAGACCTTGGCGAGTTAGGGACTTCCCCTGCGTACAAAGCAGATTGAGAGGATGAGACTGTTATAAGAATTTTAAGGTCATATATATATTTATAAAATGTTCATAACTGTATATATAAATCACACGTCTGAAACCCCATAAAAAAGGTCCTGAACAAATTGACCTCAAATATTTCTCTGCAAGGTCAAAGTGGGAAACCTCCCCATTGTCTCTTTCCTCACAAATCCTGTCCTCACAAATCCTGTCTTAGGGGCACATTCAAGATATGAAGAGGGTGTGAGCCTGTGACCTAGATTCAGGAATTAAGTAGTTATAATAACAAAAGAGTGGCCAAAAGCCAGATAATGCAATCAGGTAACTTGCCACACATGAGATAAACAATGCACTCAGATTTCTGTTGTAGACCGCCTTTTCTGTGATGTAGGTATGATGTATATGGCCGTGGTCTTGGACTCCAGGGCGGGCAATTTAAAACGTCTGTATAAGGGCGGGCACACCTTTATTCTGGGTCCTCCTCCTCTCTCCTGCGTGTGGGGGAGCACCCTGTTGCAACAGTTAATAAAGATCAGGCTTACTAGCTGCTTTGCTTCTCAATATTCCCTGGTTGGTCTCTGTTATTTTCTTCTACCAATAGAGAACCTACAAAAGGACTCTATATGGGCTCTTGGGTACCCCATAAGGGAACAGGAGCAGTTTTTTTCTTATATCAAGACCAATGGTAGGTCCAATGGTTAAGAAGGTGGTTTTCTTGAAGCTTGGTTTTGTTTTGAAATTAGCTATCAGCTTGCTGTGTGAGTGCTTGGCAAAAAAGGCTAATCCATTTACAACATTTTGCAACAGCCCTGTTGCAGTTCTGCCTGCTTTCCTTAGGATGGCTTTTAGCATTGGCCGCAGGCGCAGACTTCACCTGAGTCTCTTAGGTTGCTTGGCTTTAGACACATAGTCTCACGACTCAGACTCAGACCTAGGATTTCCGGTCTTATACAGAAAGATTATTCTATTGAGCTGCTTCCTTGCACTCTGATTGGCTCTCGCATTTCAGTAAAAGGCAGTGCACCGGGCAGATTTGGACCAATGAGTCCTGGGTTCAGATCCTTGCTCACCTTGAAACTGGCTGGCTGGACCTGGACAAGTCACTATCTATCAGCCTAAGGTTCTCCACAGGTTTTAGTTACAGGTAGGTAGCCGTGTTGGTCTGCCGTAGTCGAAACAAAATAAAAAAAATTCTTCCAGTAGCACCTTAGAGACCAGCTAAGTTTGTTATTCGTATGAGCTTTCGTGAAGAAGTGTGCATGCACACGAAAGCTCATACCAATAACAAACTTAGTTGTTTTCGCTATACATACATACATATGTACATATAGTGCTATCGCTATACAGTGATACCTCAGGTTAAGTACTTAATTCATTCCGGAGGTCCATTCTTAACCTGAAACTGTTCTTAACCTGAAGCACCACTTTAGCTAATGGGGCTCCTGCTGCCGCCGCGCCACTGGAGCACGAGTTCTGTTCTTATCCTGAAGCAAAGTTCTTAACCTGAAGCACTATTTCTGGGTTAGTGGAGTGTGTAACCTGAAGCGTATGTAACCTAAAGCGTATGTAACCCGAGGTACCACTGTACATGGGGACAATGCCATGTAAGTTGTTCTGTGCTTTGAAAGAGGACAGGGAACCACTGTGAAAAATAAATGCTAATCTAGGTGGGGGTGTTGAACGGCAAGTGCTGGGGGGGGAGCATCTAAACCCACAAAAAGAGGATTAGCCCATCAGTTAAATGACTGGGAATTTGTTTGGGATAAACATTTCCTCAGGTCCTGGTTACGCTTAGTGTTTCTGTTGTTAATGTACAATATTCCATGAAAACACTGCAGCTTCCTTGAGCATGAAAGTAAATTTGCATCTAAATTGAGCATTATTTCTTCCTAAGAAGAGGTCACTGAAAGGGCCACTGTAACTTGGCTCTTACAAACTAGCCTCTGCATTATATGAATGGGGCTGAAAGAGACCGCTTACGAGAGCGTTTATCCTCTGCCAGAGATCAGTTGTGGGGTAAGGATCTGCCACCTACATCGCCATTAAAACACTGATCCAGTAACCACCACATTGGCATGTGAAGTCCTCTTGAGCCCTGTTGAAGAAAGAAAAATTCAGAGCCATTTCCAGGCAACTGACCATGTTAAAAGTTTCTTGCATGGCTCCATTCTCTAACTCTGCCTCTCCAGCATTGCTTTGGGTTTCCACACTGTTGATCTGCACCAGGTTCAGTTTCCAACCAGTCTTCAGAGGCAGCCCCACTTGTGAAGGTGAAAATGGGAGAAGGGGAGAGCCACATATGAAAACCTTGGAAGAAGTGGGGAGGGAGATATGTACAAAATGAACAGCAAGCAGTGGCTTGCATGTTCGAATGGGCCATTATAGATAGACCATCCTGTGTCTCTTAAGCACAAAAGGAACACATTTCAACAGAGAGAAGGCATGTACCATATGTGACTTATGTTTAGAGCATAACCATGCAGAAAATTGAGGATGGGGCTACATTTTTGGTCCCATCCCCAGGACTAGATCTTTTCCAACAATGAATGTGACAGGACACCACCACAAGCAGGAGATTGGACTTTCTTTACAGACAATCATGCACAACAGGAGGTTGTTGTAGGTGTGGGGGGGAGAACCCCATGTCAGGGAGCAGGGCCAAAAATGCGGCCTGTACTCCAGTCGCCACTAAGCACACTATCTTGTCATAATGTGCTTATTACTAGCTTGGTCCACGCGCCACAGGAAGTGAAACTAAAGATTGGCTCCAGCTTATGGTTAGTGAGGAGAATGATTAAGCGTGGTCTCATCTGCACGATACGTTTAAAGCACTATTGTACCACTTTAAACAGCCATGGCTTCCCTCACAGAATTCTGGGAATGGTCGTTTCTTAGACTCCCCTGCCCCAGTCCACTCAAAGGACTCCGGGCATGTGCTTTCATGTGCTAGAGTCAATTCAGCCTTCCTCAACCTGGCGGGCTTCAGGGGTTTTTGAACTCCCATTACCTCCAGCCAGTGTGGTCAATGATCAAATCAGGGATGGCGGACATTGGGGAAGGCTGATGTACACATTTACCTCACAGTCATCTGAGTGTACAGATTTCACACAGTAATCAAGTTATAATTCTATATGTGAGAACCATGTCTTTAGTATTTGTAGCCCCAAGCCAGGGGTGGGGAAACCCTCTAGCAGTTGCCAGCCTACAACTCCCATAATCCCTGCCCAATTACCATGTTGATTAGGGCTGATGGGAGTTGGAGTCCAACAACATATGGAGGGCCACAACTTCCCCATTCCTGCCCTAAATGACCGGGGTTCCAAGTATCTGAAAGAATACTTCCTCCTATATCATGTCTTAAAATCTGCCATGGAAGCCCACTTAGGGATCCACTCGCCCAGTGAGATCCGTGGGGTGCGAACGTGATGATGGGCTTTTTCAAATGCAGCCCCTTGCCTCTGCATTGGCCTCCCATCTGAAGTGTCTCACTCCATGATATGGTTGTCATTTCATCCTCAAGTGAGGACGCACCTCTTTGTTCAGGTTTGGGGAAAGGATGAGGTACATTTTTTTTTTATTGCTGCTTTATTTTTATGGAATTTATGTTGGCTGATTTTAATATTAGTGTTTCATTTC